AAAAAAAGGCTTTTCTTTTCCCTTACAACAAACTGCTTGATTTTTTGAGGGGGGGTTTTTTTTTTTTTTTTTTTTTTTTTTTCCTTCAGCCTCTCTGTTCCTTGCTGGAATAGAGTCCTGACTCTGGTTGTTCCTGTGCTCTAACTGAAGCTCTGTGTTAGCTGAGAAGACAAACCGTGGGGAGATGCGGCTCCGCTTCTGGAAAAGAACAGCCAAGGGCTTAAATGCCACTGGGCTCGGCGTAGCTGTGAGCACCCTGTTCGGGAGCCCGGGGCATCTGAAAGCTCCCTGCTAAACAGGGGCAGCTGCCCCTGCTGCGAAGGTAACTTGGGTTGGACAACATTAGCTGATCTTAGCGCTCAAGGGGACCATGGATATATCTCGAACCCGTGTTTTAAGGTTCGGCAGCTGTCCTGTTGTCACTTTATGTGCTACGGCCTGGGTAAAGCATGGGAACCTTCGAAAACCTTGGTTCCTTTTGTTGCTGATTGATTGTTTCTAGAAGGAAAGACTTGTGATTGATACTTTAGATCTCACAAGTTTCTACTGCCTCTGTGCTGCGCTCTGCTCGTGGTTTTCAAATGTAACCCAAAAGAAAAGCTTTAGCTGAATGAAAAATACCCAGCATTACTCTAGGAAATATTAAACAGAAATTGTCAGCAATGATGTGAACACTTACGTTTTAAGGCAGGGACAAACCTCGACAGAGAGCTTAGGCGAATGCATTGTTTAAATCATTTTATCCCGTAACGCTTACTGCGGGGAGGGGGAGGTGTTGGACATTAGAGCGAGGAGATGAGGTGAACTGGAATTGCCCGGTCAGCTGGGCAATTCCTGTGTCTGTGAAGTGAATTGCTTAGTGCCAAAGTGACTGAGGAGGGATCTTTGCAATTGGTCTCCGGTCCAAAATATATAACCCTCACTTGGGAAGGACAAATCAATAGAAATCTAGTTTAAAAGGAAAGTATTTTTCTGTGTGTCTGTCTGCCATTTTTAGTTCTCATGTATTTTACTCACTTGGCTTTTGAACATTGGTGGGATAGAAGCGATTTCTGCTGCAATCATTTTACTATTTGCAAATGTTTTGGTTGCTCTATAGACAGCAATCGGAAAGCAACTGCCATGTGTGTTTCTCATGTCAAGAAGCCAAATTCTGTTTTCATGGTATGCTTTATTCAATCCAGAGAAATCCATTGACTTCAGTAATACAGTGCTTTTGTAGCCAAGAGGGGAATGCAGCCTGAGGAATCGTGACAGAACCTTTCACGTTCTGTATTTGCAAATGCTGTACAGGTTTTTGCAGCGTTAGCAGCGCAAGCTAACGGGACTTATTGCTAACTTTCTTCATTGTAGTCAAGACTGGCTTTGTTTTAAAAAAGGTTTTGAGGAGAATTTAATTTACCTCCCTCTGCACCCCACAAGGCAGAAGCACAGTAGACTTGAAAGGGGCCTTGGCCTGTAACACACGGGCAGAGACCCAGGTGCTGTCTGTCCCGCTCTGTTTTTTGAGGCTTTCTGCAGAGGTAACGGAAGGATTTCTATGACGTTGTTGCAGCAGTGCCCGAGGATGCATGCTCACTAGTACCTAAACAACCTCACTTCTGGATTTTGTAATTTGAATTTGCCACATTGCAAATGGAGATGGAATAGCCAAAAGAAGGGTGTGATAGCCCCTCTATAAACCCTTCAGATGGCCACAGGTGAGTTATGCCCCATTGCAGAGAGGGGTGAACTGTGGTCTTCCCCAGGGGCAAGGCATGGAGCAGGGTCTCAGCGACCCAGCATCCATCTGGACCTGTGGGGGAGTCCCTGGGTCAAAGTACAGTTAAGCTTTGAACACATCCAGCTTCAAGGGTGTGGATGGCCTCACTAATTTTGGCAACTCAAAACACTGAGAGCATATTTGATTCTAGGTATTTAAGTGTCTGGCTGGACTGAGGACCATCTCTACCTCAGTTCATGTCCAAAGCAGGGAATATTTCCCTTTTTCTCCCCGTTTCCCACAAAGCAAGCCTCTGCCTCCTGCAGCATGGCATACATACTCAGAGTGTCTCTGTGCTCTACTGGGGCAGGGGGTGCAGCTGGAAGTCTTAATTAACAAACTGCTCTACAAAGGTTCTCTTGAGGTTTACTTCAGGCGTCATTGAGATGTTTGTTCCATCTTGTTTCAAGGCAATGTTACTCCAGCTCAGAATAACAATCTTCATCCTAGATTCCATGGTAGCAAAGAGAATCACTTAACCTACATGTCTGGTTTGTAAATCTTTTTATTAAAAGAGTTGTTTTTTCTTTTCCACAGTAGTAAAGCTTTGGCACTTACAGTATAAAAATAATCACTGATCATAATTACACCAAATTCCTCTTTGTCAACTGCATACTAAGTGTCTTCAATACATTTTATTCCCATATAAAAACACTTGAAGGTCAGGGGAACAAAACTGATAAATAACAGTATGAGATATAAAGATACAGCTAGAAAAATACTAGGATCATTGAGAAAGAATTAGGACTGTGCATATTTTAAATATCACAGTGACTGGATTTGCTGTTCCTATCTTATTGCTGGCTGCACGCTTATGTGAAAGCAGAAGTGTTCGGTGGACTTTCCTATCGCTAAACTTCAGTAACGTTGTACTCAAATGTTCTTTGCATAGTATGGGAACCTTGAATTTCTACACCCTCCCTCCCCCTTAATATTTTGATCCCCCACCAATTTGTGATTTAGCATCTCCCCCCTTTTTTCTTTAATTTTGAAAATACTGACTGGTATTCAACACACCGAGCAAGAACAAGACAATCGCTATCAATCATGAGAAAAGTCTGAAACACCCCAAGAGTGGCGCTTGGAGAAGCTGTGAGTTGAGCTTAAGCTGGGAAAATGGCTCCAGAGCAGAGGGCCATTCTCAAAAGATGCGGTTTTGCTAGCATCACTCCAGTTTGGATGGTAATCGTGGCAGATGGGGATTTATACTTTGGTTTGTCTGTTGCCATTGCCGCAAGAAGTCTTGCTGGATGTTACTTTCCCCGTGGATGTTGTGTGTCTGCCTGTACATCTAGGGGCATGAAACACTCAATTGGGCAGTTGACGTTCTGTTAGGAGGGAAGGAAATCAGTTAGCGCTCTGTCCTGTAAGGACGGACAGTTCTGTGCTGTGGTTTGGGCTGAGAATTGTTGCCAGCCTGTGTAGCCATTCAGCTTTCTCAGCACAAAGCACACAGCTGGTTTACAGCAGCAAGCGAAGGCGAGGTACATGCACTACCGCCAGAGCATGCAGGCGCATCCCAGCGCTAGTAAACGAGAAGCCCCGCTGATGTGAGCGTGGCACTGAACGCTGTGTGTGGAAGTGTGAGCCTGTGCTGTGCAGAGCTATGGTTTGCTGGATCAGTGGCTACCACGCACTTCTGACTGAGCAGAAAGCTAGACGCTGCTCTTATCCCTCGAACCCTGTACAGACCCCACGCATCTGTGCCATACACCAGACTCACAGTAAGGGAGGGCAGAGAAGGAAAGTGTACTCACGGTGTTTGTGGCCTGGTGGTATCTCTGTGTAAACTGTGTGTAGGTATGGCCAGCAGAGCCTTCAGGGGCCACCTCCACGCTGGGTCTGCGGCAGTTGTCACAACGCCAGCCCTAGAGAAACAGAACGTGCGTGCGCCGGTCAGACCACACTGATGTGGATGGCCAAGGAGCTGCCAGAATTCACGCGTGTGGGTACAGCTCCACCAACACCAGGGAGGTTGCTTGCATTTTATACCACGCAGGCCCTGCCTCCAAGTCCCTGCAAGTACTTATGCTCTCCTACTAATTATTTTTCTTCTTATATGGGCCTGTTTTGGCCAGGCATTAGACACCATCTGACCTGAAACCCAGCAGTCTTAAGACTGCACTCCAGCACAGCCTCCTTTCCTCATTCCCTGTGTTCAGCATGCCAAGTCCCTCCTGCTTACCTGCTGTCCTCCATAACAAGTGCAGGAGCAGATGGCCCCAAAGTACTCCTTCTGCCACTGCTCTCCGACTTGGTACATTTTCCCATCATCGTAGCACGTAGTCTCATCTGCGGAGGGACAGGCAGAGCTCAGTTGCATGGCCTGTGCTTGGCTTTAAGCATTCTCAGAGCAGCTTGGTGATCAGAACAGGAGCCTCTGGCCACCGCGCTCTCCCTGTTTGACTGGAGGCTCACTGACTGGCAGGGGAACATCAGTCATTTTTATAGCTCTCCAGACACTTTAAACTGGAACGTGAGGGTATTTGCCTGACAAGAGCAATGCAGTTTAATTCCTAGTGTGAAGTCTAGAGGATCTTCAGGGGACAGACCCTGCAGAAAAGTCCTGTGTTACTGATCAGGGTAATCTACACCACTTAGTGCAGTGACGTGTCCCTCTCGTGTGGCTGCGGGGCCAAGGGCAGACAGATGTTGAGTGTGCTGCGATCTTAGCTAACAAAAGAGGGTTTTCTTCTTTTCAAGCTTGGGAATGAGAGTTTTATGCCTTTAGCTCTTGTGAGAACAGATTCAATGTGTCACTGAATCAGACATACTGATACTCTACCTGCCCCCATGGCAGGACCTTAATGGGAACAGCCCTGAGATGCTGAAACTTCCTGAATGAGAGCTCAATTAAATTAACATCAGAAGGAGACTTACGAGGTTCACACTTGAATTCTCCTTTTCCATTTCCAAGGCAGGTGCAGCTCATCATCTGGCCATTCTCCCCCTGCCGGTCCCACTTCTCCCCGATCTTGTAGTTTACACCATTATCGTGGCACCACTCTGGAGAAGGCAGAGGAACGAGAGAAGCAGGAGTTATCCCCCACACTGCAGTGACGTAGTGGGAGGAGAACAGCTTGATGTCTCAGGAACCAACAGAGGGGCAGGAGAAAGAATCTTTTCAGCTCATGTAAGTCCCAAGGAGGAAATGGGTTCCTGCTGGAAATGGGTTCAGCTCCCGCAGCTTTTAACTGGCGAGGACCGTTAACAGCTCTGGAAGTGGCTAGAGGCTCTTAGGAAAAGAGCAAGTAGGACGTGACAAAGATTGGGGAGGTGGAGGAGGGCTGGCTAATAGGAGGAGAGGTGAAATGAAAGGGAATTTAATAGACATGGGGCAGACAGGGGGAGAAAAATATTTTAAATGCTCTTTTTGAGCTAATACCCAGTAAAACTGTATCACAGAGACTACAAAACACAACAGGTAAGCCATGCATATGAAATGATGAAATACAAATATTAATCCTTTAAAATAAGTGTCTTCCCTGCAGTCACTCCTCTGAATCTATGCAAATTGCAGAAATACCCTCTTTGCTTAGCTTGCTTAGCTTGCTTCGCAATTTAAAAGCGTAATTTAAATTAGTTGGATATGTGTTGTGTTAAACCACTCAATCACAGACTTTTGTTCCATTCCCTTACACGAAGTTTGATACTCTTCCATGTAAACCACAGCCCTGCAAAGAATAAAACTTAGTGCCCCGGCAGAGGTGTTGCCTGCTTGACAGAGCTTCAAAGAACAGCTGAGAAAATGAGAAAACTCATTCTGCAAGATGCTTTGCAAAGGCTGGCTGTAATGCAAAACAGACTCAGTATTTGCTGTAATACCACTGAAATCCACGTAAGTTCTGTCTGGCCCACTGCAACGATGTATATAATTAGGAGATGAAGATTCAACCATAATTTAATACTCAAAGCTGTCTTCTTAAATAGCTACTCACATAATATCATTTAGGCATCTTGCCTGTCTCACTTTTACACATTACCTAGACGTGCCTGGCAAGGGTACGGAAAATAAAACAGTTAACTTTGGTGAAAAAGTCATTACGTATCAATACAATATCAATTGTTGCTGATGCAGTGAATGGCAATACTAGATAAGCTGCACAGCTCAGAAGTAACCAAAGTTTTCCATCAGTTCTCATGATGCAAAACACTGATTTGGTTTAAAAACTTGAGAGCCTGCATTCATTTGCATCGTGTTCGGATCAGTTTGGTTCTATCACACATGCCATTAGTGCTCAGGGAGCTTAGAGACAGGGATGGTCAAAAGCAAGCTACTCACTAGAAGAATCGCATCTGAAATGACCACTGCCAAAGCCTAAACACTGGCACCAGAGTTTAAAGCCAGTTTCAGATAATCGCTCCCATTCCTCGCCAATGGAATAGAAGGAGCCAGTGTAAGTATCAAAGCAGGTATCGTCAGCTGGCTGGTTTAGTCCTTCAGACACTGGAATGAAAAAAAAAAAAAAGAAACAGGCATCACACACAGCAATAGGAACTACTGAAAGACAGAATGATTTTCACTGAATACATGCTTTTTTTTTTTTTTCTTCCCACAATATCCTGGCAGTAATGGAGCTACCCCATGGGCATATACTTGATGGCTCTGTCAGCAGTCCAGGCTCCCTGTGATTTATTTTCCATTTGCATGTGTCAGAGCAGTGGAATGTTAAAAAAAACCTGACATGAAGGCTATTTTCATTTTGATTTGCCAAGTTTCAAGCAAGTGTGAGTTTCTGCATTTGCTGCTGGAGAGCAACAACCTGACTTAGCCTGTTTTTAAGAGAAACATGCTGTGAGATGCTGGAGAACAGCAGGAGGTTGGTAGCTGCATGTGTACTTTTTTTGGGGCACTTCAGACTAGCTCATGGCAGGGGGATTGAAGGAGGAGACCAGACCTTATAGCCGTGCTGTTGTATACAGATGTCAACCTTGGGTGCATGCCTTGATTGAAAAGTCGGTGTTTTACAAACACCAGTTCAGTGTGTGATGATCAGGGTCAAGAGTTAATGCTCTCAGTTCAGTCTGTGACACACATAAGGCAAATGGGATGCTGGAAGGGGAGAAACAGCTTTATTTCCCAGGGAGGTGGGGGCAGTAGGGGGCTGCACGGAGAAGCTCAATGGGTGGACAACATAAATCCTTAACTCTTCATTTCCTCTTCTCCCATCCTGTCCTCCTCTTCTTTTTGACCTCCAAATACACACAGGAGGAGATGGAAGGAGAGAAAATGAGTTGTTGACCAGACCCCTGTGCTGGTAAAAGCAAAGCCCAGGTCCCACAGGGTGTGTGTGGGCTCTGGGCTTTCCAGCTGTGGCAGGTGCCGTCTCTGACCACAAGTACTTGTGGTTGGTCACATGGCTTCTAAGTGCTGCCTGTTTGCGCTTAATTAGCATCTCTGCAGGCAGCCTGCCCGGCTGCCAGACCTTTGGGATGGTCTAGGACCTTCGGGATGGTCTAGCGGTGCTGCTAGATCAGCAACACAGAAGCAGTGGCAAATGACTGACAGAGCAGTTAAGCTGGCCACTGGCACCTTCCCATAAGCATGATCTGTTATTGTGACAGCAGATCTTCGCTGCTGGGCAGGAATCTGTCACACCAGCGTGACACCCGACTTCTTTTGAGAGTGGCAAATACTGCATCTCTTGCTCTGTCCTGGGCACTGACCCTAGAAGAGTGTATGGAGCCTCAAACCACATTCTTCATGATTAGACATCAGATCAGAATAGCTCTAGTCACACTGTCAGTGTGTCAGTTATCCAAAACCAGTAGACTTCACAGATCACTTGTCCCAGTGCCCTGCTATGAACTCTCCATGTCTGGAGAAGTTTCCTTTCTGAACTGTTCTCAAGCCCGGGCACCAGGTAGGTTGCCTTGAGTACGGGAAATGAGGCAGGAACAGCACAGGTTCACCTAGACTCCATAAAGCTTTGACTTACCAGTATTGCCAACTGTGACCACCTCCTCCAGCACCTTTTGTCTGCGGTGATCTTTCAGGGCTTCCACTATGATATTGTAGGTGGCCCCTCTTGTAAGGCCAGTGAGCGTAGCACTGGAGGAAGTTCCGGGAACCCTGAACTGCAACAGGAGGCAATGCCACGTCACCAGAAAGGGAAGAGCGATTACCCTTTAGGTGTCACCCCACTCATAGGAAAGACAGGGTGTTTAGGTTGACTTCTGTGCTCTATACCTTAAGGGAGCCAGCCTGTTCCCCTTAGACATTCTGAGAACTTCAAACAATACCAAGTTAAACTTGACTACTCTGGACTATGATTCATGAGGGATATGTTATTGCTGCCACTTCAGGGAAACAGAAACCAAGGGAGACAAAGGAGAAGGGCTAAGGGAGTCTTTGGCTTGGAGAAGCAGCACCTCAGTCTTTGAAACTCCCAGTTGTCTCCCTGACTGCCCCCTTCCCTGGTGAAATGTTGATACTGACAGCATTTCAAGGGCTTTCTGGTTTAGCAGTTTTATCCTCTCCTTCATGGAGAAGGCTACAGAAGGGAGGCATTTATCTTGCTCACAGCTACACGTTAGTAAGACTCTTGAAGCCAACTCTGACTGCCACCCCCTTAATACAGTAAAGGGACGGACTCCCACGAGACATCTGCTGCCGCAGGTGAGGCTAACACCATTCCTGTAGCTAAGACAGTTCAGTTACCTGCAGAGTATCTTCATCCTGGCTGACTGGCTGACATGAGATGATGTATTCAGAGCTCTCCAGCAATGGCCTCCAAGAGATGGTTGTCTGAGAAAGAGCTTCTTGACCTGTGGTGTCATTGCGCCTGGGCCCACGGGAGTGCGGGTATGAAGGTTCAACTATGATAGGCACTTGGTACCCAGGGATTTCAATCGCTTCATCTACGTTTGGTGGTGGCCGTCTTGACCCCGGCCTAAGGGGAGTTGCTGTAGTGGGTACAGGCCGTCTGTAGCCGTGCTCCTCAAAGAAGACTTGTTGACCCTGGTGTCCTATTGTCTGTGGGTGCCCAGAGGTGCCTGGAAGTTGGATACCGTTTCCATTGTCATACCTATTGTTTGTGAGGTAAGGGGTCCCCTCATCAATGGAAGGTACGTCGAGAATGTCGGGTTGGTTGGGGTGCGGTCTGGTAATCAACGTGGGAAGCTCATCTAGCCAAAGAAAGGTTAGAAGCCATAAAGCAAAGTGTGGCAAATTAACAATGGCAAATTCAGCAGCTAGAGTGGATGCTGTGCACTGCTCCAAGCATCAAAGATTAGCAATCATCTCAAGATGCAACACACTTTTTATGACCTCATTGTGATTGTGAAGGTAATTTCTATCTCTCTATATATTTATATAGTATATAAATATATCTTTCATACATAGGCATAAGAAGTGTGTTGGTATGAAATTTTCATACAGCTGAGCAACAGTTTTGAACACTGCAACCCGAAGAAGTCACCACTGCTCAAATTGAGAAGAAATTATTACGAGAGATATTCGTAGATTATCAGTTTAAGAAAAAAATCACTGGTGTGCAGTACGAAACCAGCTCCTTTATCACATTCGGCTATACAGCCGGTATTTTGCTTGCTACAGGTACCTCAATCTCACACTGCTGAGGGTGTAAAGTAAGAGAAATTAAATGGGCAAGAAATGAATGGATTCTGCCTTTGATGCCATCATGTGCTAGATGGAGATGCGAGTGTCAACCCTGATTTAATTATGAATTAGGTACACAGGCAATAATCAAGCACCAAGCATGTTGTTCTGTTCTTAGTGTTCAAATGCAGCTAAACGTGATTCATATAACTTCAGAATCTTACCTCCTGCATCCCAGAAAGGAAAACCTCCTTACAAAGCCTATTTGACTCATAAACAGGTGTGGCTGAACAGGGTATTTTAAATAACATTATTATTTCAGTCCTGAGATTGTATTCCCCAAGTGGAAGACATCAGCTCCTGTTGGCACACAACAATCCAGAGCTTTGTTTTACCTGTCCTTTTTCTGCCAACCAGTGGTTCGCTCTTTTGATTGTTCTTCACAGCAATGATGTAGATGATGTATTCAGTTCCTGGTTCCAAACCTAGGGCAGGAGGAAGGACATAAGCAATCTTAAGAGTTGCTTTTCTTTTATGATTGTGTGTGGGATGTAAGGCAGAATGAGAGGTGGGTACGGCTATAGTATGGGTATGTGCATTTTGGATCTGAGCTTTTCAGGACGGTACAGAGAGTCCAGCCTCCTGCTGCTCAGAGCAGGTTTGAAATCTGATCATGTCAGCTGGGATCATGGATGCTGCAGACACAAAACATAATGAATCTTCAGAACGTGTGACTGATGACGGGGTGCCAGAGTCATGGGCTTTTTTCCTTGAACAGATGACAGTTGTGGTGGCAGTGGAAACAAACATCTGTGGATTGTTCAAATCCGATGGTTGATCTGATTAGAGAAGTGTATTGTGTTTGTAGGACAGGTGTGCTTGTAAAACCGCTGTCTGTCATTAGAAACCACAATAAAGGAACAAAACTTGGTCTTTCTCTTAGCTGAACATCAACACATTTTATAATTAGGGCCTCCCCGCTCTCTTCAAATATAAGTGTTTCAGGCAAAATGCTCCCAAACAAAACAGAGACAGGTACCAGTAATAGTAGCCTCGGTGGTGCCGGGCCGAGGGCGAGGCAGAACCTCCTTGGCTGGTGAGCCAGGTTTCTCATATCTGATGATGTAGCCTGTGATCTTGGCTCGTGGAGGCTGCCAGGTAGCCAGGAGGGAGTTGCTTGTGGTTGTAAGGAAGCGCAGGTTAGAAGGAGCATCAATAGCTAGGTGAAAACAAAAGGAAACAAGTCAAATGCTGTAAAGGCAAGCATATTCATCTGAACTGTATCTTCTGACACCCTTCTCAAACTCAGGAGTAATACCTATTGCTGTAAATCACAGTAAATATTATACGTGATCAGATATAGACAACTTCTGCCTGACCATATGTGATTACTGTGTGTTAGCATGATCACAAAAGTCAGACAAGATCATTACCAGTGGAGGCATCAATCACTACTGGGGAACTGCGTGCATTCTCATTCAGAGTGTAAAGGTAGATCTTGTAGTCATTGCCAGGTTGCAAGCCTAAAATGAAGTTGAAACACAAATGTTAGCTAATCTGAGGAAGCCATCTAAAAGGGACATCAGAATGTCTTTCAACAACTTCTTCTTGAAGACTAGTCTTTATGACTCAGATATTTTTTCTTTCCTTTTGTTCCTATATTATTCCTCATCAAGGAAATTCAACTACTAAACAAGAACCCAGCGTACCTTCCAATATGACCCTGGAAGCTCCTGTACCTGCAGAAGCCCCTCACTTACCAGTGATAGTGTAAGTCCTAACATCAGGGCTGATGGTCCTTTGAATGGGGTTCTGGCCACTTGCTGGGACAGCATCAACTTGGAAGCCAGTGATGGTCTCAGTCTTGGTTCTCCAGGTAATGGTGATGGTTGTCTCAGTGGCATCTGTCACACGGGCCCTGCGAGGGGGACTAACATCTGCACCAGAAGGAAAAGGTCTCCTGTCAGTACTGTGGGGACTGTGAATTTTACCAGCTAAGTGTTTGCGAAGGCCTTTGCTGGAGCTTTGCATAGAGCCCTGCTTTTGACACAGACTAGGATCTCGGCCTCTGCACCCAGCACAGTACTAACTGGTCATTTGTGGAGGATCACTACTTACTTTCAAGGGTGGTGACCACCCCCTGAGCTGGTCGGCTGGTCAGCGAGTCCTTCAGGGCATACACGCTCACTTCATACTTGGTTGCTACCTAGAATGGACAAAGTTATAGCATGTTACGAGAAGGACCTGGCACAGTGGGAAATACTCCTGCCCTCATTCAGTGTTTGGTGGAGCCATGTTCCTTGGTCACCAGTTACTGAAGTATGAAACCTTAAAATAAATCAGTGAAGGATTGACACAGTAATTCTAATTATTTCCAGCTGTAATAAAAGAGTAGACATAGACCCTGATAAAAGTGCTGTTGATAATACTACTATTGCACATATGCACACCCAGGAGCAGAGGAAATCCTGGAAAAAGCTTATTTGTCATCCCTCATTTTGGAATCTGTGCTTCAAAGCTGATTCTTCAGAAAAACCTAATTTACATCCTGTTTTTTCCTGGGGTTAATGGATGCCATTTGCTATGATAAGGTGCTCTTGCTGTGAAGAAAAGAGAATGGTGGAAGTTACAGCATGGTCTTTCATCCTTGACTGCATCAGACCAGGAGTCCACTTAGACTAGAATGTTTTTTAAAGGCTCATTTTTGAAAATGATTCATAAAACTCCTTAAAAACAGATCAGTAGCTTTTTAAGATAGCAGGAACCATAAAAGCAGTGATTTTCAGCCTCTTCCAGTTCAGGCACTCCTGAAATGTTTCCAGTGGAGAAGATGGCTATATAGCAAATTTAAGCCTACTCACAGAAGACTTGCATTTTTTACTTACATTTTGTAGATGTCTTAAAAATAGGCAATAGACTGCCAGAGCTCCCACATCACAGCTTGAAAACCTTTGCATTAGGTCATTTTATCTGACCTCTTTTGTGAAAGATGAGTAAAAGCATTTTACTGGGCTACTGCTGACAATTCGTATTTGATTAAGGCATCCAGTCTCTCCATGCTAAATGAGGAAGGGGAAAGAATGCAGATTCAGCAGGGCAGTTCCTTGCCTTTTAAAAAGTACGATAACGAGTAGTTACAGCTGATGGCTAGTCAGACTTCAAACAGAGTCAGGCCCTTAGGAGCTGTAATGATCTACTCCAGCTGAGGTTCCTGACTCAGGAATTTGAAGTTGCTTCAAGTTCTTCTAATATCTCCTTCCCACAACACAGTCTGAATTACCCAAAAAAAAAGAGTTACCATTAATCCAGACACGACAGCAGAGGTACTGTCCGGAGAAAGGTTGATTTCTTTCATAGGACCAGTCTTTTCTTTGGGGTTCACTCTGACTCTGTAGCCAGTGAGGCGAACGTTTGGTGCATTCCAGTTGATGGTAAGACTGGTGGGAGTTACCTGAGTAAACTTCAGGTTTGTTGGAGGTGGAATTGCTGCAAAAATCCGGATTGGCACATGGTTAGTTTAAAGAAGACAATCTTGGATAAAACAATATTCTCTCCTGAACATAAAACAGGTTTAGGCCTGAAATACATGGGCAGGAAAGTGGTGTGCCTTCTGCAAATACAGGCATAAAGCACTCTGGAAGAGGACAAGGTATTCAGGAGATTCTCAAATCTACAGTAACGCTTTTCAACAGAAATAAGGAGATTTCGATGCTTTAACACTGAAGTTAGGTGAGTAACAACACTTGGCTGTGATAAAAGGTGAAAGCTTTGGGAGGTGCTTAAACCTGTAGTAGACCAGTCTGGTTCAATTCTTCTGCCTGTCTCTGCTTTTCATCACACAGCTAATAGTTTAGTCCTGCTTCACTTGCCTATCTCTGTTCATTTCTAAAATATGATGGATGATTTACAAAAGTAAGTAGGAAGCAGGCCCAGGAATTGCAAAGAGGATATAAAAATACTGCAAATGCAGAGGGGAAGCATTTTACAGCCACTTACACAAGTGTAAATTACTACACAGAGAGCAAGGCAATGGAAAAGCAGAGCTGTGGTGGCCATAAGGCTCATCACGCAGGAGTCTGTTCATGAGCTAACACATCTGATACCTTTAAAAACAAATGTTTGCATAAAAAAAAGAGCATCCATTGAAACATTTTCTTGCCTTACTGTTGGTAATCCTTGGGCTGTATACAGGGGAACAATATACCTTACCATAGTCCCCACTATTAGCATGTTGCTGTGAAGTTTTCTAATTTTATAGAGTGGAAATACAAGATAATTCTCCCTTGTTGCTTTGCTCAGAGCTCAATCTAAAGCCCATGAAAATCAATGGAAAATCTTGAATGACTTGAAATACGCTTTTGAACAGCCTACAAAGTGTAAACCCCAGAAAGTGGGTTTTAAAAATTACTATGTTTGCATTTCTCGCAGGTAGTCAGCCAGCTGTTTCAATCATTACAGCCCTTTGCTTCAGTTTAGTACAGCAATCTACACTAGGAACCAGTGTCTTCATTACACCCCTGGAATTATAGTGCCAACTTTTCATCCACAAATGAATGGGAGACCTTTATTGCAAAGGTGTTACCTTTGTAATAAAGACACGTCTGGTAATGCTGGAAGCTTTGCAATGGATTCCATATTGCTGGAGTAATTTTATCTCAAGCAATAGCTTCCTTTTCCTTTTTCACAAAGGAATTTTAAATGTGTTCTACATGAAGTTGGATCAGACTGGCACATAAGGGACTCTCCTGAATGGAGCACGTCCTCTTCTTGTGGAGGTGATGTGAGCGCAGGGTGTGGGTGTGCACATGGGCTGTAGCCCTTAGGGCAGTGCCAGTGAAAGATCTAGAGGCTCTGTGAGACCTGAGGGTTAAGCAACGTCCTAGCCCTTCATGCTCATCTTTTGCTCCATCCAACAGTGAAGACCCTGGGGGATGAAAGCTGCCCTAATCTCTCTGTTGTTGGTAACTGCCTCTGCTTGGAGGTGCCCCATATCCTAAAGACAAGACCAGAGCGTTGTGAGAGGGTGGTTCACCATGAATTAGGCTCCGTGACTAGGGACCGGACATTACTGATCCACTTGAGGACTGAGAGAAGGCTGTAAGGTAACATCCCTCCTTTCCCTAGAATCTGCTCTTCAATGCTGCTGCTCTTTCCTGCATTCCCTGCCTTCCCTAATGTGTATGTAGGCTGACTCCGCTGGCAGCCAGCTCTCCAGCACCAACTAAGCCATCTCTCCAGAGCAGTCACATCCCCTTGGCTGCCCCTGGGGCTTCCCCAGCACGGAGCACCAGTTGCGCATGGAAGCACACTTTACCCAACAGGGCAGAAGCCACTGCTGCCATGGCCTGCTGGGTGGTGTAGTTAAAGGTGTACCTGTGGACTGGGTCCCAGTGAGGGGCAGGCTCTCCATGTCATCGTATATGGCAACGATATTGATAGTGTACTCAGAACCTGGCCTGAGGCCATGCAGCTCAGCAGTGTCTTCTTCGCCACCTGGGGCCGGCAATAGCTCATGGATTCCATCCTCAGGGCTTGAGTAGGTCACCCTGTACCTGGTGACTTGCCCCTGCGGGCTTTCCCAAGCAATTTTGATGGAATCAACATCCACCTCAGTGAATGTTAGTCCTTTAGGGCGGTCAATGTCTGTTAGGCAAATTAACGGTAAGAGGTTATGTGATAAAAAGCAAGTTGTGGGTGAGGAAAACAAAAAGCATTTCTACTACATGCAAAGCAGTTTTCGGTTTTGTGCGGGAGACGGGGTACTCGATTCTCCTCTGTGCTGCACCTTGCACTCATGCTTACAGCTGTGCAGAGTAAGGCTGCGAATTTGCAGGTGCCAGACAGCACAAAGGCAATCTTGGCTTTGTTGAAACCAAAAAGGACTGGCATTACCACCTTCAAAGCAGCCAGGACACCAACTCTTAGCTATATTTGAGTCCCCTTGGCACTGAAACCCCTTTTACACAACTCTAGCAGCATTAAGCTACCTTGAAGTGGCGAAGAGGAAAAAAGAAACGACAATTTTAAGACCCACTTCTACCACCAGAGCCAGTAACTGGTTCCTAGTGCTAAAGGCAGCCAGACAGCCCACCTGACTCGGTAAGTTTGGATTCATGCTGCGTTTGGTTTTTGCTATTGTAAGCTGCTGTGCAAAGCGCCAGTCCAAGGAGAATCAGTCCCGCTATTTTCTTTCATAAATTAATATCCAATTAACACATTTATCAAGAAAGCAAATTACTCAGTATATTGTATTTTAAAAACGGTTAGAAACAAACTTTTCAGCTTTGTATTGAGTGCACAGGGAATGTCCACAGGTGCAACTGGGTGATACGCACGCTTCCTAATGACACCAATTCATTGGATTTTCCTAGCAAAGTGGGAGCTCAGTGCTAGACAGCAAGGTAAGTGAACTTTGCTCCACAGAAGTCTAATGTGGCTACCACAGAGCTATGTCTGTTTGTTACACAAAATGGGAGGATCCGGCATATCACCTTTATATTGGATCCAAATTATGCTTTTCTAAAAGATTTCAACTTCTTTTATTTGCCATGTTATATTAGTCCTGAATTTTCTACATTTTCTAGTCGGCAAAGGTGATTTTTGTCCAGGAATTTGTTGACTTGAAACCGAGATGCACTCTTTTCCCACCTTTGCAAAGCTTCAGAGGAGCTCCTGTTGTCTTTAGGACAATTCTGTAAGTATTTGGGGCTAAGCTGTGGTTTTGAATACAAGCCCGAGCAAGGCAATAACATGCATGCAAATGCGTACCCCAGAGGTGTCCCCGAAAAAGGCACTTTACATAACAGATAGCCCTCTGAGTTACATGTTCCCTCTTCCCTCCTCTTTGTGTCCAGAGCAGTACTGCTGTTTTGTACAGGCAGATAGAGCAATTTGAGGGCTGAGTTGTCCTTTCTTTTGCAGTGCTTCATCCCAAGTTCTTGATAACTCATGTGGTTTCCTTTACTCCCTTGCACAGGGCAAGTGCTCCCAAGCCAAGTCCAGTCCCTTAACAGTAATCACCTTTGCCACCTAGCTCCAGAAAGGAGATCTTTGCACATTTTTTCCACTGATTGGCTGAAGGCAAACAAAACCCAAAAAGATTTTGCAGCTTTAGTGAAAGAAAATCAGAAGCGCAGCATTTTGATGGGGTGGGGGATTGCATTTTGCCAGTGTCTGAGGGAGAGGGACTGCATTTTTGCCAGCATCTGCAATTTAGGTGCACGGTACTTATCACAGGGCAGACCACCTTGCATTCTCCTGGAGACTAGGCACCTGCCACTTGCTTTCCCTGGGGATGTGATACTGCACGGTAGATTCAGACATCAATAGATAACATTTGTTTTGTTACCGTAAAGTGAAATACATACTGGTGACAGCTGTCTCAACCAAGGGGAGGCTCTCTCCATTCTGATTCTGAGCGTAGACACTGACCATGTACTCAACTGTGGGCTGCAGACCTTCAATAGTGACTTGTGTTTGATCTGGCAGGAAAGAACAACATTAGTCCATCTGCAGCTGCACAAAGCTGCCGAGCATTGGCCTCTAAGCAGCCTTGAATGAAAGACCTATATTAGCCATATGTCATTAAAACGAGATAGGATTGACACATCACATCATCACATTTACCTTTTGCTCGCACTATGCCTCTCTGGCAGTGCAGGACAAGGCATCTGCTATGTGTGCCTGCTAAAAGGCCCCACAGCTAAAAGGGCAGGTTAGCACAGCAAAAAAAGTGAGGCAAGAGCAGACCAGCTTTCACCATCTTCTGGGATAGGATTGACCACTAACCCAACTACATCACAAGCATCCCTGAGTGCTAATCTCTGCAGATCCCACAAAACCCACTGTGTTCCTGAGAGCTGACTCGGCAGACTCTATGGTAACAAGGTCAAGCCTGTAGCATATGTGACTGAGTCCATGCTATGACCAAGGGTTATGTGACCTTCAGAAGGATTTCAGAAGAAGTTTTGCTGGATGCTAGAAAATCCAGTGGCATTTCTTTGAAATCCAGGTGCCTTTCAGAAACACTGAGGTTGCCAAGAACAAACCTTTGCGGCACAGTGGTGTCAAAGAAATGCGAAGCTTTCAGGGCAAAAATTTGCTCTAGCTTCTCCTGGGTGAGACCCAACTGAAGTCAGCAGGATGGCAAAAAAGGTACAAGCAGGAGAAAGTTTGGCTTCGAGCATATGCCTAGTGCCTGATAGTGTTGATTCTAGTGGTCACGTCTTGCATTCTTTACAGCTCTGGTGAAGGATGTCATGTACTCTTACCTGCAGGGACATTTTTAGTTTTTGTGGGCCCATGTCCTTTCTTGGGGACAGCCGTCACCCGATACCCTGTGACTGGGGATGTTGAAGGGAGCCATCTGATGCTGATACTGTTGTCCTGGACGTCGGTAACTTGCATCTGGGATGGTGTGTCTATTTCTGGGAAACAAAAATAGTTTTTTCTGAGTATGTTGGTACAGGAAACCCTCCCTCCATTGTTACCTCCTAGATGAATTTTATTCTGCTCTTTCTTTTCTAGGCTGTGCTTCTTAGAACAGAGAACACATGTTGCTATTTATTTGTCCTTCATGCTAGCCCAGAGCAAAAAAGCCTTAACCTTGATGTGCAGGTGACTGACCTTGTATTAATGTTAGTTGAGGATTTTTGTTGTTTTAAAGGCTACTGAATGCCTTTATCTGCAGCTACAGTAGGAGTAGGATTAGGCTATATCCAGATCAGGAGTGAGACAACAGTCCTGGAGTTAGAAAGTCAGGTCTCATCAGGATCACATAATATGACAGTGCACCAGAAGCACCAGAGTTAAGCTAACAGTGACCCCATGATATGAGCACCCAACAGGATTTCCACTCTGCAATAAATAGCCAAATATTGCTTCTATCCCCATCTGGACTCCACAGGGTCTCCCTCCTCCAAAAGTTCAAGTCCACGATCCCCTTCTGTGTCATGTCATTATCATGCTGGGCCACCATGACACACAGCTCCACTGAAAATGATGGGCTTACAACATAGCCCATGACTTCTAAAAGAAACCAGGGATCAGTGATACAAATTTATGAGGATAAGACAACACAAAGCTATAGGGTTTTTCTGTGGGTTTTTTTGTTTTGTTTAAACAGGTCTCACCTGTTTTGTAGGTGACAGTGACTGGCTTGCTACTGGCAGGGCTATCTCCACGGCCAGTTACAGCATACACGGTGATGGTGTAGTCTACACCAGGTTTGAGGCCAGTGATGGTAGCAGTAGACATGGTGCCAGGCACTGTAAACTCCTGCACAGGGCTGCTTCCGCCTAAGGAGGGCAGGGTGGAAAAAGAAATGTAACGGATCTCTAAATTATACATTTTAAATCATGACAAAAACCAGGACAATCATATATGCATCAAGCTGAAGACAGGACCCTGTTGATTTCAGTGGTTCTTGGGTCAAAGTCTTTTTCAGACCAACCCAAGGAAAAGAATGAAATATGTACACAGAACCACCTCTAAAATGACTAGAGTGCTCCAGATGCTCTTTCCTCTTGGTAGACAAAAAATTATTTGCTCTCCTTTTAAAAAAAAAATAAATTGTTACTATCATCTTCTCTAAATATGCTGCAAGAACCTCAGAGATACAACAGTTTTCTGTCTGCTACAGTCCAACTTGCCTTTGCTATTTGCTGTGGCTTTCTAATGGCCTCAGAATAGAGCTTCTGGTCTGTGACTGGCCATGGCAGCCTGCCCTCACCTGTTTCACCGTAAGTGATCCGGTAGTATCTGACTGTCACTGCAGGAGCATCCCAGGAAATCACAAGGCTGGTCGGGCTGGTGGGGGTGACTTCCAGGTCCCTTGGAACATCAGACACTAGAAAAACAGAGAATTGAGAGACACTTTAAACACAGTTAATGTACATCAGCTACGTATTCCACCTGTCATACCATGCTCCTCTGCTACTCATCTGCCTTAGTTTTAGCCCAATGCACACACCTCTACAGGTGAGGTATCTGGTTAAAAACCATCCGGCATTGGACTAGATTTAATGAAAAAAAGTTCTGCTGGCCCTAAAGACATCTGACTTGACCTGAAAGTAGCATAGGTGCTCCCACCTTTTTCTAAATCAGGCCCTACCTCAGTATCACAGGCACCTCCTCAGGAGCAGAGTTTCACCAGCTGGTAGGGAAGATCTGGTTTAACAGCAACTACTTTGCTAGAGGACACCCAAAATCCTTGCGGTAACTTTTAGCCAGTGTTCTCTCAAGGCTTACCCGTTGTTTGTTGGCCGACCAAGGGCACACTCTCCTCCCTGCCGTTGATGGCGATGATACTGACCACATACTCAGTCCCTGGAAGCAGGTTGGTAAGGGTGATGGAGTTCCGTGAGGGGGGCACGCGATCCTCCTTGGGCCTGCTAGCAGCGTGCTCTCGGTGATGCCGGATTTTGTAACCCGTAATGGTGGCACGAGGAGCAATCCAGTGGACAGTGAAAGAGTTAGCAGTTATATCCGAGAAGTCAAGGCCAGTGGGGGAATCAAGACCTGGGTATTTCAAAGAGACAAGAGACTGAGCTCAACTGAACTACTGGTCATGGTTCATTAAGCTCAGTACCACAATGCTGCCAGATCCTAAGCCAAATCCTATTCAGCCGTGGAACTTAACACGTGCGTTCGGGATCAAAGCAAGATAAACAAGCACTGGAATGCAACTGCAGATAAAGAGCGTATGGCACACACAGATAACACAATATAAAACAACATACATGACTGGCAAACTCTGTTACACAGTTACGAAAGAAGGAAGACTCGGTGATAGATATGATTGATTGATAGGCTCTGCCTAGGCTTGTTCTCAGGCAGACACTGTCAGTATATGCACACCAGGGTCTACAATGCTCTATTTAAAACCAACAGAAGTTCTGGCTCTCAGATATAATGAGATGTGAGATTTCCTAGCATTTCCCAAGATGTGCATCTGCATTGCTGTTTGGTATCTAGCTGACGACCCATCAACGAGGTGACAATACACAAGAAAGAGCAATGAAGTCCCATTAAGGAAGCTTAATGGATGGCATTAATCACACACGTGTCTTAGGCTGTACCTGTTTTCTGGATTCCAGACAAAGGTGCACTCTCATGTTGCTCAGAAACACTGTAGACTCTCACCAGATATTCAGTACCAGGGAGCAGATCTGTAGAGTTTAAGTACAGGAATTTAGACATATTTCTTTATTAATAGCTAGAAGTCACTCAACCTACACAATCTGAACTGTGTTTCTTAAGGGAGGTAATTAGATTTTGCTTGATGGAAGATCTGAGCCTCAAGGACAGTCAAAAATTTACATCACTTCTTTTTGTGGCATTATGGTTGCTTGCAATGTTTTAGCCTGAAGGAGCATGGTATCCTGTATCATTGCTTCATTAGTTTGTCGAGACTGGCTAGAAGCAATTAGTTTTCTACAAGGTCCCTTCTAGTTACCTAGTAGTTTCATTATGCACTGTGTCAAAGCTTTAGCTCTTATAAACTGGAATAGGGCCAAGGATTTCCAACACAGCTATTCTAACTCAGATGAGCTCCAGATCTGGTCTCTTATTCTGAAAGTGGATATTGTCTCTCACTCAACCAACCTGATTCTAGGACAGAGAAAAAAACCTTTAAATATCACACAGCTCTCGCCCCAGCAAAAATTAACGCTGAAAATGCCCACGTTTTGTTGCCACGTCCTGTAAGCTACAGTATTTATTTTCCGGTCCTGAGCATACAAAGCCAAAGGAGTAATGACCTTTTGCACATTCTGATCCCCTCCCTGAACCTCTGCACTGCAAGTGCTTGACATTTTTGGCAAACCAGGTGAGTAATATGTATTTACTCTTAATACCTAACCAAGCTGCAAATCAAAGCAATTGCCCCATAGTCTGATTCATCACTGTCCTTGGATTGATAGGAAAAAAAACTTCCTGTGGTTTGGCTTCAACTTGGGTAAAGCAAGTGGCCAAACCCCATTTAATGCGAGTTTGTACGTGGCTACTTCGACATCAGCTTAGATCAGCTGAGAATTTGGCCAGTTACACTTACAGTAAGCACTTTTTCTTTTGCCTCAACTTATGTCATATATAAGGGGCCTCATATTCGTTTGACTTACGTAGGTAACCCACTTACTTGTTAAGATCACCATGTTGTCTGAGGGTGAAATTGTCAGCTCTGCAACATCTTCCTCCTTCTTCACAGGTGAGTAGCGCACCAAGAAACTGCTCAGCACGATGGAAGTTGGTGCAGTCCAAGTCACTCTCATAGTATCAGGCCCCACATTAGTGAAGCGGAGATCAGTGGGAGGAGGCACAGCTACACAGCAAAGAACAAATATATCTTAGTTCTCCAATTCATTAAAAAGTTGATCAAGAAGTATGTTCAGGGAATCACCAGAGAAAGTACCTCATGCATAACAGACTACTGTGTCAGACCCATGCAAACAGACTTCTAAACTACATTCGGTTCTACTATAGTTAAGAGAAAAATATGTCTGTACTACTGTCAGGCTCCTTTAATCTCTTGGCAATTCCCAATGCTTTAAATATACCCTGTGGGGCTAATTTGAAAACAAGGTAGCAAGTTTCAATAACGTGCTTCTTGCAGCTGGATTTCATATTACAGATGCGGAGCCAAGAGAGGTTTAAAGTTGCCATACAGCAGCTTACAGATGGAAAAGTAATCTCATCTAGAATTCATACATGCACACACAGGAGAGGAGAGGGTATATCACTAATTTCCTATGACTCTACTTCTACTCGTGTCGAAGGATTTACAGCCTCAGGATTTTCAAACACAATAGGATTTCATGCAAGAACCAGTTTTCAGCTCGCCTCCTGCTCATGCACTATATAGAGACCCTTGACGGTGTGGCATGGCTGTCAATGGCATGTAGTTAGGGAGTGGTGTTTCATCTGCATCCTTTTGGGCATTGTGGAAAGAGGGGGGCCACCACTGAAACAGACTGCTGGAAGCTCAAAGAGTTGTCAAGGCTGGAGGGTGTCTGCTGAACTGCTCTGCCCTTTGGCACTCATTTTGGGGAATCACAGTTTAAAAGTCCGGTGAATATACAGCTCGTGTTTCAGGCTCTTGATTCCAGCTGGATCCTGGAAATCTGAATAGCAGAAGGTGAATGAGCCTGGCAAGTCTGCAGCCATTCACAGTATTAAAATGCCTCAAATTAGAAAACTGAGCAGCGCATACCCATCCCCAGCTGCCGTTTAGAAAAAGGAGCAAGCTGGGTCTGTCTGGCTTCCCCGCAAGGAGCGGCTCAATTCCTCTTTGGACAAAGCCCCATCATCCCGACAGCCAGTGACAGCATGAAACACCGTTCATGTCACAAAACACAGAAGTTTTCAAAATTCACCCGTTTGCTGTGTCAGAGTGGTAGGGGCGCTCTCTCCGCCATTAATGAGTGTGATTACACTGATGTCGTAATCAATGCCCGGCTCCAAGCCTGTGACTGTGTAGTATCCTACTGAGGAGTCCACAAAATCTTCAAAAATAGGGACACTTTCTCCTGCCGCAACTACTGTGATGCGGTAACCAATAATGGTGGAGGCATTTAACGGGGTCCACCTCAGGCCGATGCTTGAGTCAGTTATGTCAACAAAGCTTAGGTCAGTGAGTTGGGGCACCTCTAATGAGTTAAAGAGCAAACGGGAAAGGCAAAGACATACAGAGGCAAAAGAAAGACAAGGGAGAAAAAAGCAGTGTTCATCACTCTTAACATTGACAGAACTTTAGAAGCAATTGCGGTGATATGCAGAATTTCTCTTGAGGTTTGGGGGAAAAGGAGGTTTTTTTAGTGGTTTGTCTTTTTTTTTTTTTTTTTTTTTTTTTTTTTTTTCTTTTTACATTGTACCCTTCAATGCAGTCTCCAGCTGCCTCCCTGGGCAGACAGAAGCTGAAACCCCGATCCCTTGAGAAAATGCACTTCCACTTTAGACATACAATTTTCAAGAAGGCCTACAAGAGGCACTTAACTTGCAACAAATTTACTTTGAGCAGTGATGAGCCATGAAGACCCATCATTTCCTGATGAAAACAGAAACAGAACAAACATACCACTTTTTTTTTTTTTTTCAGGTAGAAAAGAGGAGATCAAAATCTATTAACATTTAATTAAAACTACTCTTCTGAAATATTAGTTGATTGACCCTCTAGAATTTTTGTCTTGTTCAAATGGTAAGTCTAACTTTTATCATTGGGATCATAAAAATATCAACCTCTTTAAAGGGGCTAAATCAGCCTACACCCTCAGCTGGTGAGAACCATCACAAAGCTTCAGGGTAGATCATCCACTACCTGAACTATTTACACTGGACTTGGCCAAGTCTCAAATCCCTGTAATGGCTTGAGGATCTGGCTCAGAATTCCTCAAGTTCTACTTACCACTAACTGCTGCAATGTATGTGCTAAAAACAGACGATACGGAACAGTGAGTAATAAAACACTTTCACGGAAAGACGGCAAATGGTTAAAAATGACCTTTAGATGGTAAGTATTCTGTAAGAGCAACAATGTCCCCATATTCAGAGGTTATGCCCAGCACATGATGTGGCTAAGAGGCTGACTTGATTTGTTGGCTAAATTGTTCAAAAATCTCAGAACTGAGCCACCAAATAAAGATCTTCTAGATATTGCCTAAGTTTCTGTACAGCAAACAAGCACAGCTGCAATGGATATTATTCCTATAGCAAAGTTGTTCTTTTCCTGTATGTTAGGACCAACAGAATTGGGCAAGGGGTGGGGAATGTTAGATGCATCTTTAATTGACAATGGCCAAACCCTCAGCTGCTCAAGTCAATAGATTGGTATTGATTTAAGCCAGAAGATTTGGCTATGTAACTTTAGCAGGGTGATCCTGAAATCAGTGGGAGCTAACAGATGCTCTTCCTCCCTCAGGATCAGACACCAGTAGGTAAGTCAAAGATGCAGGACTCTGTATCCATTCTGTTGGATCATTACAAGTTAGCTTCAAAAGGAATTATGAGACAGTAATATTGCAAAAGACTGGCTTTAATAACAGTGGTTATGTTCTATTTTAATGTCTTTCTAGGAAAAGACTTATTTTACAGAATAGATGCAAAAAATGCCAGTTTTCTGCAAAATCATTGTTTACCCACATGGAATGCATGTACCATATCACCTTTAAAGAGTGCTAAAAGCCAGAGACATACATTCTTAGCTTTCCCTCACCAGAAGATGGTAAAAGGCTAAAGCTATTACTGCTTTAATTATGCAGTATCACAGTATTAGTTCACCCCCAGGGAGCATACAGCACTTCAGTGAAGCACGGAAATTTTAAAGCAGCGTTATAAGAGCAAGCAAACACAGTAGCTGGCATCATTTCAGGGCTGAGCAGAAACAAAAACAAACAAAGCAAGCCCTCACAAAGGAAAATTAAATGAAACCATTTGGGGAGATGCATATTAATTTTGCTACTGTGGCTACAAAGGTAGTTTCTGCAGTCATCTCAGCATGTAATGTGAGGTGGCACACACCACTTCGTGTCCCAGAAGTGTTACAGTGATTGACCTTTCAATCTTGGCTTTCCTCTCCATTGTGCTGAAGTGATCTTCTGCCACTATTGCTGCCAAAATTTCTCTTGTGTTCGCTTCCCACTCATACCTCTCTTCACCGACTTCCCATTCCCACCAGCTGTGCTCCAGATGCCGGGGCACTGCAGGGCTAAGTTAAATCTCTGTTGCTCTTCTGCTTAGTGTACTGATGCAACAGATCCATCTCTTTACCACCACCCTGTTGACAGACAACGTAGGCTGCCCATGCAGATTAGTACATGGGTATAAAAACTGCTGTCACATGCTGGCACATGGCTCTCCTGCTTCTAAGTCTAAGCCCTCTGCCATCAGACTAATAGGAGTTCTGCAATGTAGAGCTCTTAGGCTCAGCAATTTGGCTTTAAGTAGCTAAAACTGCTACTGCTAACTGCTCATCTTTTCATTACCTTGTGTGATGGTTTCGGAGATGGGGATACTCTCCTGGTCGTCCTTGACCGAGTAAACGCTGACATTGTACTCCACACCAGGGTTTAGGTTTTCAAAGGTGCAAGTGGTCTGATCTGCACCTACTACTTCCTCCAAGGTAGAGCCCTGCTGCCCATTGGTAGGAGCCGTGGTCACTCGGTACCCACTGATGCCTGAAATACAGATATACCAGTATGCAGTAATCTCATGCTGTATTGATTTACATCAGGACTCAGTATAAACAACTGAAGCAAACGTGACATTTTACAAGTGATTTTGCCACCCTGAGCCCAGCAGGCAAGAGGTTACTTTGTCAAGTGCCCCAAAACGAGCTTCCCAGGAGGCAGCCTCTCACAGCATAGTTTCAGTTCCCTTTGAGACCTTACCAAACTGAAAATCTCATAACACGTCAAGAAAAGATCCACCTACTGACTGAGAGTGGGGTTTTCAAAAGCTTTCAATCCTTGTTTTACAGAAGTCAATTATATAGCTCCCATCAGCTATTGTTGGAGAAGAGTTCATCTTGAACACTTTCAGATCTTCCCCCTTACTCTCAATGACATGAATGTTTTAGTCCATTTTGCTTTCCTTCCCTTGGACTTTTTTTAAACCACTGGGGATATCTGAAGAAATCCTTCAAATACCTAAACCAGCTGAAATATTTAAACACATTCATACTCCAAAATAGCATATTACATGGAATGTAAATCATAAAGAGTCCTATGGCAACCTATACTTAGCTGTGAATTATATCCTTGAATATATCTAGAAACATGTTCATTTTTCCTTAAATGACTCAACAGCAAGCTTCCTGTCAAGCTCCTAATGAACTGCAAGGCACCACAGAACAAACATTAGCATTCTGATAAAGCAGGAGGTTCGAGCATAAGAGTGAGCTCCTGTAGTTACCTGGAGTTGTGCTTCTATCCCAAGAGACTACCAGGATTCCAGTATCAGGATTGGGCTCCAGGCGCAGGTTGGTTGGTGGAGACAATGCTGCAAGCGTTCAGACAGATGGGTCATTTACGGCACTGAGAATCATGCTAGCTCCCTCAGCATCCCTTCTCCCCACATTATATCCTCACCCTTCAGGATCAGCTAAAAGTATTCTCCTGAAGTTGTGACCCTGCATTGCATGAGCTAGTGCTACTGTCACCTATGCATCAAAAAGAAAAACCCCTCCCAGACCACAACAGGAGGAAAAGACTAGAACTGACTCCCAGAAGACAGTGATTGATCTGGGGAGCACAGGGGAAGCAAGTGGAAGAAGGAATGATTGTGGAAAAGCAAATGTGTCGTACGTGTAATCACTCTCCTGATGATTGGAGTCTCTCTCTCCTGGCCGTCCATCAGGACTGTGAGGCTGTAGGTGTACTCCACTCCAGGGGTCAGGCCAGATATCACGATGCTGCCAGAATCAGAGATGACCTCCCGAGGAGCCTCTCCACCTTGGCTTGGGCGCACACCCAGCTGCAGAGAAGCAGCAAAGTTTGCTTTATCATCTCAAATACTCCTATCCCAGCTACCAGCATCCTGACTTATCATCCAACATGAGTATCATGGGCCCTTATGCTGAACGCCAACCGTTAATCCTGTAACTTGCGTTTTAGATGTCCCACTCATGAACTTGACCTGAAGCCTAGAGGACATGCTTGCATTGACCTCTGTGACCTAGACCTGCACCCTGTAAGCAGCATGTCTTTTGCACCTCTTTCCTTTGTGCTACTATCTTCACTGCAGTCCACAGTAAACAGCTTTAATCTGTCCTCCCTATCACAACGATACAAGAGGAAAAAGAAATATGGGACTTCAGTTTCTCCTACCTTGAAACCAATCCTTGGGGCAGGTGTCCAGGTGATGACAATAGAAGTCTCAGTCACTTCTGTGTTAAAAGGAGGAACAGAGCCAACAGGCTGATCTGTGAAGTGAATTGACAGAGTTGAAGTCTAGCTGCTGTGATGGCATCAAGCAGTTAGAAAACCAGACCTATAGCAGTCCAAATAGCAAGAGGTATGTAATGAGATGCTGAACTATATTACTTTTGAAAATCCAGTGATTTGGGAGCGATCTGACAGATGACTTCTGTCTGCTGCTGGGTTTGATAGACACAATATGCAAGTGGTCTAATCATAGCCAGTGTTTTTGTTGTTCCTGAGGAAAATGAAAATATTGAACTGGGCCTCGTAAGTTGTCTATGCATCCAACCCCAAGAATTTGGGGAATATTGTTTTCGGCACGATACCTAAAGTGTTCCTCAAAAAGCAGCTTTTTTCCCTTCACCCACCAAACGCCATTCAATCAGCAGAACACTACACTCTTGTCTGTCATCCAGCTGTCCCAGCTAGGACTATCTCATCCCTCACCAACACCTTCAACTCTTTTGAAATCAGCAGAGTTAAAGGGAGCTCAAAGTCAATCTGAGGAATCTGTGGTCCCATTGATATCTGTCAGGAGCATCACACAGAAGCCAAAGACTTTGTGTACCCTAAGAATCAGTCCAAATAACTCCACTGAATTTAACCTGAATTGGCATTGTTATTAATGAAGAGACTTGGTTTATTAACCTATAGTCTTAAAATGAACTGGTTTCGTTCAGATAAGCCAGAATTTGAAGGTAAGATTCATCTAAGATATCCAGTCATATTCTAATTGAGAAATATTCGTAGATAAGGCTGTCTGTCAGCAAAAAGCACCTTGCCAAGGTCAACAGTGTTACTCTGATTAGAAGTCTGAACCCTTATTTGAATTTCACATTGTTCTAAAAGAAACCACATTCTCTTTTGAAAAGAGGATGTGGTTCTGGGCTTGGACAACTTCCGAGTTTTGCTAGTTTATGTGACTGCTTCATCATTATTTAAACAGTGAATCTATTTGTTCTTTCTAGAAGTATGTGTGGGTTCTTACAGAACTCTCTTTCCTCCCAAAATTTGCTTAGTATTTCTTCCAAGCCAGCAGCACAAGTACAGATGACTGAAATTTAAAAAAAAAAAAAAAAAAAAAAAAAAAGGATAGAATGCAATGCAATGTTTGTGTCAGTTTCTGTAACTGCAGTTCAGCTGCCTTAGATGGTATGGTTGGGCTTGAGAAATGACTGCCTTCAGCTTTATACAAATAACGGACTAATTATTTGTTGCCCATTTTAAGGAAGCTGTTTGCTTTCCTTGATTTGACATGCCAAAACCAAACAATTGGAAAGATCAAGTAAAATTAAATGTCTTTTTCATGCAGTTAAACAAAAACTGAGGTACCAGTAGTAAGTTTTCCCTTTTGTTTTGAATCACCAAAAAGCTGAAATGTATTTTACTAGAAGCTTTTTGATGCAAGTAACTCTCTCTCTCCTGCCAAATAGTTCAGAAAGAAGAACAAGGAATATTTCCCAAGCAGTTCTGCTGGAATGCTACTTCAAAAGGCTTTTTCTGTAAACCAATTCACAATAGCCACTTTCAGCACAAGTTTTGAAGAAAGGCCAGGGCATTAGGGAAGAGGAATATGTGCCTATTATACTTACAAGTCGTGAAGACTCCAGTCTCTCTGGTGCTTTGCAAGTCGTCTTTAACAGCCACAAGATACACTGTGTACTCAGTGCCAGGCTGCAAGTTCCTGAGAAGGTACTTGGTGGCAGAAGGTCCCACATTGTAGGTCCTTGGTTGACCTCCTCTTGTAGGACCTGCAGTCAGCCGGTATCCTGTGATCACAGCACGGGGCCGTGTCCACAACACTAACACTGAATGCTCCGTGGTATTGAGAAATCTCAGGTTGGTGGGGGCATCGAGCTCTGGGGAAGAAAAAGCATAACATGCATCAATTTTCCAGCTGAATCTCTACTTCACCCCTACTTCCAAAGCACATCCATTACCATGCAAAACACATGGATGTACAATGAGGTTGTTGAGCCTGTATTTTTCACTTAAGGCACAAGTGTAACAGTACGGAAGAGAGAAGGTGGGGACAAAGAGAGAGTTGGAAATAGAAGTGAAATAACTATATCCATGCCCCAGTGCCATCCGATAATATGCTGGGCCAGGCAGACCTGTGCATTCTGGGCTGCACCGACTTGGGTCACTGCCATACGTGCCATCCCACGGGGAAGTCAGACTAACGGCTGAGGCGAGACAGATGAACCCAACCGCACTCAGGAATTTCAACAGTTTCTCATGAATGCTGAGCATTTTTTAAAAATCGGATCAGTTTAGACTTGTCAGCATAAGCATGGAAACCTAACTTTAGCCCTTTTTCGTTAAAAAGATTTATTCTTTTAAACTTTTGCCCAGTCCTACTCCCTGCCCTCTCAAAATCCCTTCCCAAAACAAAACACCCCCACTTTGTCATTTTAATGTAAAAATAAACAACAGTCAGCGACTTTCTGCAGAAAACCAGTTCCTAGATCTACTTAAAAATAATCACACCATGGAACTGACTATACAACAATTCTAAGCATGCTCATCTCTCCCATGGGACTCACACAATGGCTTTTATCAGGCTTCCTCCCCTTTTTATCACTACCTCTGGGAAGCTGCTGAAACTGATAACCCAGAAAACTACATAAACAAGAGGCTGAAGCAACACAGCTTCTTCAGCTCTGCACTGGAGTCCAGCGAATAGCAGAGATGTCACTACCTTTGGCTGAGACAAGATGAGGCTCCGAGGGGGAAAGACACTTAAGTAATTTGCCCACACAGCAGGCAGGGTAGCATTGGCTACAGCGAAGAGTTTATAGTGTCTACATAGCAAGTTTCCCCACCTTTTCTAGGCCCCAATTATATGTTGAAATTCAGAGCAGTGAGGAGAGGTTCCATCAATGCTCTTTTTTGATGGCAAATGCTTTTTTCTCCCCTTAGGTAAATAACATTTTTGTGATCAAAGTAAATGTTTTCATCACTCTCTCAGTGATTCAGTGGGAAGCGCTTTTTGTCCTTTTTGTTTTCTCCCCAATTGAGGAGGGAGGGAAAAGGAAGTCAAGACTTCCATCTTCCACCACCTCCAAAGATGGGGGAGACCTAAAAGACAAAGGATGAGTGTGACCCTTCTTAGGCCCATCTCCAACCCATGGGCTGAGCGTCAGCTTTATCTCTTCTTGGTACTTAGATCTGTGCTAAGTCTCATCTGACAAGGATTCTATCTTCCTCTGATTTGTAGCCTACAGTCAGTTCCTTTCTGCACAATTTAATTTGCCAGCTCTGTTAGGCTTTTATCACTTCCTCTCCCCATACTAAAGAAAAAAGGGGAAGATTAAAAAGCCACACACACACTCAGAGTTTATTTGTAGACTGCTTTTTAACGGAAGGCCAAAAAGAGAATCACATTTACACCGTGGGAAGAGACTTTTGCTGCAGGGTTTTCCTTGGGAACTCTGAATGATTTCTGTTTCCCAGGACTTTCGATTACAGGATGCAATTTACGTGAATGCTTTCTGAAATGTGGTTTAGGCAAACCAGTTAAGCGGATGATCATAGCCTATGGAAAATGATTCCAGACATTTGTAACTAGCCCTGTGCTGTCCGAATCACATGCCTGTGCTCCAATATACACACCTATGCGTGTGGACTTTCAGATGGGCTCTACGCCTAGCCAAAGCTTCTGAAAACAACCACAAAAAATTACAGATCTAACTGGGAACTGAGCCCTTGTTCTAAATGCTGCTAAGGGAGTTCAGACTCCTAAGTCGCATCCTTGCTTTTTGAAAGCCTCACTTGAAAGAGGAGGGAGGGTGTTCACATCATCTATGTTACACTCAAATCCTATGACACCTATGTCAAAGATAAACATAAGGATTCAATCCTCCCTGCATAAAGGGAGACAGTAGGAGGGAGCGGCACTATTCACAACTCCTAACTTTATGGATGTAAGTAAATACTATTTTCTCAAACAGCATGGCTATATTCACAGATTATCCCATTTTCTTTCCTTCCCTCTCATCTTTGTAAGAGTTGGGCTGGATTCCCAAAAGTTGCTCTCATTTATTGAAAAGTGTCAGAACAGCAGCAGATGTGCATAGCTGAATTTTCGTCCTTTGAATAATGTGACCCAGTCAAAGAACACCACAAACACCGAGTCACCCTTCTATTGCCCAATAAACAGGATCCGTTCAAATGAACCACATCGCAGGTTCTGTCTGATCTGCTTCTCTCGGATCAAAAATGGAGTTAACCACTTGAACCCATGCTAAACTCCTCCTCTTCCATCTGAAAGCCTACAACTTGCCCAGCCACTGCTCCTCTCTTCTCTGCACTTCTGCAAAGCAAAAAGCAATGCCTGGCAGACTGTGTACTTTACTTGTCATCTTGCCTCATGCTGGTGATGTGTTACACTGCTACTAGATCATTAGCAATCAGGTTCTGAGAGATCCTGCATGACCCTTTCTGAAAAATATACGCTCCCCATGGCTCTTGTCAACAACCCATTGAGGTTGCTGCAAACCAGTTCCCCAGGTTTCACTGGGATAACAGTGAAATTTCTGGGGTGGTGAGACACCCTGTGGAAAGCCAGGCCTGACCTGGCAAAGCTGAAATGCAGTCCTTTTAATGACAAGGCCTGTCCTTACATGTGCATGCAGAACTCCTACTGCTGACAGTGGAGCCAAATAGGTATATAGCTGTCAGAAAGGAGATAGGGATTTTCAGAACAATCTCAGCAAGGCTGCTAAGTCATGCTGAAATCTGTCCTACGGTATCCTCAAAAAAAAAAAAAAAAAAAAAAAAAAAATCACAGGCTTCAATCTGTGCTGTAAAAGAACTGCAGGGCCCATCAATTCTCAGTCAGTAATAAAAAAGTTGAATTCCAGCCATACGAAATTGTTTTAAAGTGCCATGAGAGTTAAACTCCCACTGGAAAGCCCTAGAGGAGGATAAATCTGCTGAAGAGATCATTGTTTGAGTGAATGAATTCCCAGCCCTGTCATCCTAGTTATGGGATACCTCCTGGGCTATAACTGTTGCACTTTAAGTACTCTGTTCATATATTTCTCTAAGCGGCAGAGAAATATGCACTTCAAAAGGCTGAAAAAAGCATGAAGGAAAGACACCTACTGGTGGTTTGCTCTCCAGTCAAAGGTTTGCTCTCCCTGCCGTGGCTCACAGCAAAGATCTTAAAGAGATAGGTTGTTCCTGGGAGCAGGTCAACAACTTCAGCAAAAGAGCTCCTGGTGATAGGCAGTCTCTGACCATGTTGGCCAGGGCGATTGACAGGGATCACTTCCACTCGATAGCCAGAGACTTGGCTCTGTGGTGGGGTCCACATGATGGTGATCTTGATATCAGAAACCTCCACAAACTGCAGATCTTTGGGTGAAGGAACTTCATCTGAAAGCAGAGCGACAGAACAGTGTTAGAGGGAGTCCTTCGCAATCAGCAGGAGAAGCTACAAGTTTACATGGAAGAAAAAAGTGAATTTTGATTGAACAGTGGATAGCCCAAGAATATTTACCAAATTAAAAATGTCATGGTAACCTTACCTTACACACACATTCCCAGACAATATTCAAGCAGACTACAATTCAAAGTGTAACTACATAGTTGTAAATATTTCATGCCTTCAGTCATAGAAGGTATCTTGCTGTCACAGAAAGCAAACTGAAAGACCAGATGTAATATGCTACAGAATTTCAAGTATATGCAGAACCAAAAGCTTGGGGGACAAAGAAATACTCCAGGGGTTGGAAAAAGGAACCTCCTTTTAAAATTAAAAGAGAGGGTTTTCAAAACCCATGGCATGTTCTGAATGTCTATAATTAACTTAAAATCCAACTTTTATAATTAAACAAGTACAGGGGCTGATCTGGCCTTACTGTAGTCAAAGACAAAATCCAGTTCCCTCTGTGTTGGGTCCACCGTACTGCACCCTTGAATTACTACGTTCAAATTAAGTTTCTTCAGATTAGGACTGATACTGCCCTAAGGTTAACCAATGCACATTTTTGGAAGATACAGATGCCAAACCATAAAATCATTGAGCTGAGTTCATTCCTGGTAAATTCCCATATGCAAACACGTGCTTTCAACTTGCAGCACCATCAAATTCCACTGCTACCACATCAGATCACAATTCTTTCACTATCCTTTCTTTTGGTTTGGCTATTCAGCCCAGTTAGATACTTAAAGAACCCTGAAACCAGTAGGGTTTTTTTTTAAATTGTGGGTGCCTCAAGTTTAGAACGTATGGTGTTATTCTGGCACATCAGTTAATGCTGAGCAATCTCCCATCCCCACCAACCACAATGGAAAATAATGGTTAGGACTGGAAGGGAGAGGGAGAAGTCAGGTGAACGGTTTGGATTTGTGTTCTGGTGTCTGAGTACATAACCTTAAACATCTGCAGGCCGACTACTGAGGTAAAATGATTTACCAGGCTCTTAAGAAGATCTCTTAGCAGAATCCCCTTAAGACAACTTAGGAAACTCTGATGTCTCCTTTCCGTAGACACAATGCAAGACCAACCTTTTGACCTGCCTGCAGTCTGATCCATAGGAATTATAACCCTATTAATGCAGAGTGGTGGCTCGACTGTGTCAATTCATAAGTGAGTATGACTTTACTATGGAATGTCAATACCAATGACATTTACATTTAAAAAACACAACAACGATGACAAAAACCAGAATTGAGTCCATTTAAGGATTCATTTAGTTAGAGTGACGTAAGCCTGCATTGTCATTTGGCTCTATGTACCAACAGAAAACTCAGTGACTGATATCCAGAACATGCTGACCATTACCTGTGTGTGGGACGCCTGTGGTTTCCTGTTGGATGAAGACAGGAGTACTCTCCTGATTTTCTTCCACTGCATAGATGCTGATGTTGTACTGAACACCCGGCATCAAGTCACTGAGTGTTACAGAGGTTGCAGTGTCAGGCAGGTTAAGCTCTGTGCTGCTGCCTTCCACGGAGGGTGTGTAGATAATTCTGTAGCCTAAAGCAAGACAGAGATATATATAGTCCTTAGCCATGATCAGTAAGCCAGCAGAAGAAGTGCTAGAAATGAGAACTAAACTGATCTCCCTACTGAGGTTTCATAAAAACAGTCCTGAACTTCAGTAGGACCTATGGCTTGCCTTTGCTCATATTCCATCTACAGATTTCACACTCATAATGCCTTACAAAGCATAATCTGACTTGGATTAGAGTATTTCTGAGCTTTGACATGTGGATTTAGGGTCTATACCATTCTTATGCTTGTTATCGGATGGTCTGGATGACAGATACAAAGAGAAAGTCACACGGCTTGTTTTTATTTAACCAAATTCAGAAGGAATTGTTTTGCATCCAGCCTCCTGAATTGCTTGGTTCAGACAGTGAAACCAAGCAAATGCTAAACTGCCCATGTGCTCTCCAGCTGGTCTCTCAGACTGGGCAGAATTATGCACTAGCCCCCTCTGTCCCAGAGTTATACTTAATTTTCTTTTTTACCTAGATTTCAGATTCTACCAATAGGGCAAAATAGGTGCACTCCAATTAGACAAACCTGTGATTGGAGCCTGTGGCCTGCTCCAGCTAATGACAATTGATGTGTCATCTACACTTTCCACGGTGTGATCAGGAGGTGCATCAGGAGCTGTTTGAGGGAATAAACAGAGGAGGACAGCAAGCATGAGGCTAGAAGGTAATAAAAATTTATTGACCAAACAATAAAAACAGCTTTCGAAGTGCAGCAACACCCACCCACACATACCTGTAGTCTGTGAAGTAGACAGGATCAGATTCTGCTCTCCTTCTTCAGATATCTGATAGACATTAACAATATACTTGCGACCAGGAAGCAAGTCAGGGATGTTGACAGAAGTGGCTGTGCTTGGAAGATCTAAGGAAGGCAGGAAAGAAAAAATTGCCTTAGCAATTCTATCTTCTTGCTTTCTCTTCAAATGAAATAATTGAGACCTCTGTTCTAATCTGGGCTGAATCATGGTCTTCCTGCAATAAAACAGCAATTGTTCTGCACTGTGTCTTTAGTGCACATCAGAAAAGTTGTGTGGAGAGTTGGGACAGGTCTCCACACTCAGCAAGCAGACGACAACACCTAGGACAGCAAGGCTTGATGTGTGATATGGCAGGGCAATCTGAGCAGCAGACCCCTGCGCACTGCTGGCATTCAGCCACTGGAGCTAACTGAGTACTCATTTCATACCCTGACTGTTGTATTTTCAATACAGAAATATATGGAAAAATTTTCGCATGAATAGGTTATGTGGAAAGACTGACTCATGAGGGGGGAAGAATGACATTATGAGGGCTGATGAACTTCTCTCCCCCGTCCTTTCCCCCAGATGTCCACCTACATGCCAGATGTAGGAAATTCCCCATGAAGCAGCTCCTTACTGGCCAGACTGAAGCCAAACATCTTAAGGGAAACTGGGAATTGCCTTTCAATTTGCCTGTAAACCTCTGTCTGTAGACAGATGAGCTCAGGAGCTGCTTCACAACACAGCTCAGCTGTCTGGGCAGCCAGTGTGCAGACAAGAAAGGTGGTGACAGTGCTGGCAGTCCCAGCATAAGCCACTTCTGCTCATGAGTCCAAGTCTGTGAGTTCAGGGGAGCAACAGTCCAGGGAGAATTATAGGTCAGAGGATTACTGTTCTTTTTCTCATGTTGTTTTTCTGTTGTACTCATGTCCAAATAGCTATTATAACCTCAAATCCTTGTGAGATATTGCTATTACCATTGTTAAGATAGGAAATCAGGAGAAAGACATTAAGATGAAATTATGTGTGGTGACACAGGCTCTACAGTAGATGTTGGAAAAGTGGATTCAATTCCTAGGTCTGAGTCCAGTGCCTTTAACCAGCTTTCTGATTTAGCTAAGTTGTCACATTATCAAAGATGAACAAGATCCAATCCAAAAAAAACAACTGACAGATCAGACTGGAACAGACATCCATGAGATGAAAAGTAGCCAAGAGAGGGCATTTGGGAAAGATTTCTCTCTGTCCGTTCTGACAGAAGGACAAATGTACAGCAAAGGAAATTAGCTAGGAGGCAGGTTTGAAAAACAGATTTGGTTCTCTTCTCACCTGCACTGCTGCTCGCTTCAGGATGCTGTGGAAGCTAGTAAATTTACATTATTTCAAAAGGAAAAAAAGACTGGACAAATTCATGGAGCTGAAAACAATAAATATATCTATCCACAGTTATTACAAATCCACCACCTCTGGCTCAGGGAGTTTTCCTCTGCAGGATCCTGGGACAGTATTCTGAGGTGGTATTGCTATATACTTGCCTTGTTCTCATACTTTTCCTTGAACACGAACTTACGGCCATTGATGGAGAAAGTACAATGAACTAAGCGAGCTTTTAACCTGAGCGAGTCCTGCCACTCATATCCTAATTTAATCATACTGACAGATAGCGAGATCCTCACTATTTACACTAGCTATACTGATTGTCACAGAAAACAGCAATGTACTGTTAGCAATGCTTTGATCTAGTAGACTTAAATACTGTCTCACCAAGATACTGTGGCTCATCGCCCTCCTCACTCAGCTCATACTCAACACGGAATCCAGAAACTGTGTCAGAAGCAGAAACCCAGGAGACAACAAAGCTGTTGGCTGTGATTTCAGTGACTGACTCTGAAGTGGCAACCACGGGAGGAAGAAGAGTCGTCTCTCCTGAAACAGTGTTGCCTACAAAAGTGGAGAAAAATAGGTTTAATTAACGATCGCTACTTTTGTCTTAACTGTTAAACAAAGACTTAGGTGAAGAAGAGGGGTTTTTTCTGGATGCCCCACTGTTCAACTTACTTGTCACTGCTGTGGTGCTGGTTGTGGTAAAATCAAAGCGGGTGACTTCTTTGTGGCCATACCGCTGAACACTGATGAGCTGTCCTTCATATATCACACCAGGCTTCAGGCCTGAGATGGTGTAGGAGTTCTGGTAGCCGGGGATGGTGGCTTCCTTCCACTGCCTTCCAGAGTTTTTCTGCAAGAACAAGGACACCCAAATAGCATGAGAGTCCCTAGCCTGCAAGCAGAGGCATCTAGTGACCTAATCTGCTACATGGTTACCAAGCACAGTGACATTCAAACACAGGTGTGACTCGAATGGCTAATGCACAGACAGAGTCAAGCTAAAGGAGATAAGAAAGGCCTGCCAGGAAGCAGGGCTAAGGACATTTTAGGTGATTAAGTTTTACTGAGATAAATTGATAAACAATCTAGCTTTGAACTTTTTCCTTTAAAAGGAGCATTATTTGTAATATACATACTAAACTCATTCCTTTATCAAAAATGCATTAAGGCATGAAGGAATGGCTGGAAAATGCATATTTGAAGGCTGTTCACAATAACACTTTAAGCCATCATCTGAAAACAATATACAGAAAAGTGCTTCCCTTCTACCCTGCGTTTGAACTTTATGGGAAGCTCTAAAATCATGCTCCATCCTCTGAGGTTTGTACTCCAATGCTTTAAAGTCCATTTCATTCAGGCCTTGATCCAAGATACACTGAAGTCAGTAAAAAGACTTGAGTGCCTTTAACGGCTTTGGACCAGGGCCTTTATTGTTCTTTTAATAACAGGCAGCATCAAGGTACTAATGTTCTTAAGCATTAAGTGGTCTTTTGTGAAGCTGTACTCAGGGGAACTGTAACACAACTCATCTACATTGGTTAAAATGAATCATTCCTCAAATACGAGGGAGCCAACAAGCAGTGGTTAACCAGTTTTGGTTTAGACTTTACAGAAGATGGGAGATGACTGTTTATTTAATCCTATGCTAGCTGTTTATATCTTCATATCCTACTCGTTTCTATCTCCTCATTAATAGGATAAAATCTATCCCAGTTGTCTCTGGATATGCACATGATACTAAAACAATGTTTCTTAGGATGAGGAAGCTTCCACAAAGGTTTAGATTACTTAAAGTGAAGAAGGATATAAACTTGTCTGCTTACTGTGCTAGTGCTTTGGTTAATAAGATACTTCATGAACACAGTGACCAGTAAAGTTTGGGCAGGAAAACATCAAGTGTTTATACAGCACTGGTTGTCTTTGACCCTCAGAGTAACTGTTGACCTCGACAGGACAAGGACACTGAATTAGCAACTAAAGTTTGCTAAAATTGTGTCAGCCGCTTCTTTCAGACACAGAAAAAGCCAAATAAAGTATTTTTGATGAATGAACGGTGACAAACGTGGCACTCACCGGTCTCCAGCGCAAAATGTACTTGGTGATGTGAGATCGTTCAGGAGCGTTCCACTGGATGGGGTGGGAGTTTGGCTGATTTGTACTCTCTGTGATGATCACCTGAACAGGCCCAGCTGACCCTGAAAAAAAGAATTGCCATTTTTTACATACTGGGGATACTTTTCTTCTGCCTTTGTTGTGGAGTCATCAAAAAGCAAGAAAATTGTGTGGCTCAAATACTATTTCTATACATAAGAAATAAGTCGTATTGTCTTTCTATCTGTTAATGCTTCATTGCTCCTTAGAAAACTGATGAATTAGAATGTATTCTGTGGGGGAGTTAACGTGCTGTTTGGGTTAATTTCCTGTGAGTTATCAACGATATAAAAAACTGGAGCGGTCTAGTATAAAAAAAGTCTGCAAAGCAAAGTTATATTGTTCAAAGAGAGGGAGCTTCTCAGCAACAAATTGCTTTCATTAGTTAGTATCTTCTTCATACCCAATCCAGGTCCAATCTTGCAGCATGGTGAGGGCAAATTCCTGATCTGATACTGAATACACCCTGCAAAGAGACACTAATCTTTTACTGTTTTACTAAATTTCTTCATCAGTTAAACTGAAACACTGAATTTTCATGACTCTGTGGAGCACTCCACAGGCAGTGAGGCACATCTTCCGCACACAAACCACACCAGAAGGGCTGGTGGAAGTCTTGAGACAAATCAGGCCCATAAACTCATGAAAATACAAGTTCAGCAGTGGTCTTAAGCATAAGACTACCAATTGCTTTTAGCTAGATCAGGCTCAGGTGTATTTTCTCCACAAAGCCCTCTAATAGAGAAGGGAAGGTTTTATGATCCCATAGTTCTCCTTTCAGTCCCTCCCAGCCCTGCTAGGGAGGTTTCACTAACACTCAGCAGCACTGTGCCCGTGTTAGTTCTCAGAAAATCCCAGCAAAGAGCAGCCTGGAATCTGCAGGGAAGTGTCTTGTTTTAGCCATTAAATACCTTCACCCCGCCCCCCGCAACATTTCTAATTATAATTTATTTGGACAACTGCGTAACATATATACCTGCTCCATATTTAACGGGACTTCCAGGCAAACAAACCTGTGCCCACAGGCAGAAAATTTCAAAGCTCACCTAACCCCAAACCTACATTCAGAAACATTAGATTTGGTTTATTTACACATTTTCAGTCACTCTTGTGTCTGAAGAAGCCCCAAGCCCTGGTCTCCAGTCTGGAGGCATGCATATTTCACATAGCTCAGGGAGATGTTTGTTTAAGCAGTCTGACAGGAGTCAATGAAGCTCAGCAAGCCCCAGTAAGAAACTCAGGGGGAAAAAACAGTCCAAAGAAGGCCTGCTTCCTATTTTTGCCCTCCTTAGTTCGCTGCCTCAAAGAAAGGTAGTCCCTAGTTCTGTCTGCCAAGTGTCCTGTTCCCTTGTCCCTGGCTCACTAGCTGTAAGGCCATGGATAGAAATGCAGTCAGTTCATTGACAACACTGCTGGGTATAGGACAGGTTCAATAGGGTGCTGTCGCAAAGACCTGCTCTATGATGTGTGTGAAGCAAGTCACAGAGAAGAGATACTCACCTTATTTATGTGAAGCATTTAGTTGCAACGGACTTCAAAGGGGCTAGTCCCCTTCTACAGCAGGGTCACCTATATTAAAACGCTCTTTCTGAATAAGCCTTACATTCCATTTCTTACCTTGCAGGGCACTTATGGGATAAATACATTGCAGCTACTAAGTGGACAGATGCTTCTTAACGTAAAAGCAGAGAATCAACTCAGCATTGAAGATGCTACATCCAATCTTTATGCAGTTCCTCCACATTTATGCTCAGAGATGGATTGGGGAACCAATGACTTGAGCAAAGTCTTCTCCTCCCAACAGGGAGGACACAACACAGCCTTAATATTTCATCTTATTCAGATTAAGACAGTGGTAGTTGCAACCTTAAACAGGAAAGTAGAGTTGTTCCCCGTATCGTGTTCTGTTCAGGGAACTGAAACAGAACAAGCCAACAAACAGGCATTGCCTGTCCCTATAAAGATTTCCTGGAACTGACTGAGCAAACAAAACTTCAAATAGGGCACTGATCAGGAAAAATGCTTCATTCCATGGTGGATTTTGCTTCTGTAGTGAGTGGAAAAGGAAAGACTACACATGTAAGAGTTTAAGCAATAGAAACCAGAGGTTGCAGGTGTAATATCACTAAATACCAAGAGGCAATGCAAACCCAAGTTGTTGTGTGAACTGATAATCATTCTCTAAACTAACCCTGGCCTCAGGAACAGCTGTTAACAGCCTGGCCCCCTCTTTATAATCATGACACCTGTTTGTGTCCACCAAGGGTGGGGAGGGGAAATGGTTCTGTTTAAAAAGGAAACCAAAAGGAATAATGTACAGAAATCTGAACAGGTGAGGGGTGGTAAGATTGCTTTCCTCATGTCTTACTCGGCAGATGAGTTAGTTATATGTTGTGTTTCTTACCAGGATAGGTCTGCAGAGGCTGGCAATGCCATTCTCCAATACCACGACCATAGCAATAGCACTGGTATCTGACACCATGGACGTACTTCTCCCATGAATCTCCGATTTGGTAAAAGGTACGGGTTTCTGAATCCTGGCACTGATCTAAAGGCACAAAAGAGACACTTAACCACTGCATGTCACCGAAACTAGAGTGAAAAATCTATGCCGAACATAGAAGAGTAAGTCACAAGAGACTTTTACACAAAGAAATGTAACACCGATGTTTATTTGCAAATATAATTACGTAAAGAGAAAGTGGCAATCTCAAATCAAGGTTCTTGATATATCACTGCATGTGTTAAGTTAGATACTAGAGGGCTAATTCAGCTGTGATGCATTTCTTAAGATACTGTTAATTACAGGCCGTCCATCTGGCAAGCTTCCCACTGAAGTCAATGGGGTGTTCCTTCAAGAAAGGATTTATTTTGAACTATCTATTGTGGAGCCCAGTTCTGCTCCAGTCAACCGAGTTCATCTCTCATCCAAAGCTAAACCATGCTGCTCTCAAGGAAATCAATGGCAAAATTCCTACTGGCTCCAGAATTCAGTTATACTTTATAAGTCCAAAGTGACCCATTAATTTTCAGCAGAGTCTTTCCAGATTTACCATTGTATAAACCAAAGGAGGACAGATCAAATCCTGAGATCAGCTTAGCTAGTGTAAATACAACACAACTTCAGTACACTTTCTAGTCTGACCTATGCCTGTGTTTCTGGCTCAATGGAAATTTTTAGTGAGAACCAGCATTATGCTCGCTTGGATTAACAAGAGCCTTGTTTAGAGAGAGCCAACAAAATTAAACCGATTGCACCTTTACAGATAGCTCAAATCATCTCCCCTCCCCTTCTTTCAAAGTAGTAATTTTCAGGAGCTTTACAATCCAAGTTCTTCCAGTAAACCTGTACAGATATTACTGTAAATAAAGCAGAACTTAACCACTAGTGCTTGCTAATAGATTTTCTTGGCAATAGTTTGAAGTTCTCTTTGATTTAGTAATTGGAAACCAAACAGCCAGGTCTTATCTTCCAATCAAGGTTCCCTACGGAAGGCGGGAAAGCAAAAGAGATGAAATCTCCTCATTCGTGCAGAGAACCATGATGGTTTTAGCTAACCTCCAGAGTGCTATTAACACATGTTCTCATCCTGAGCTTTCTGTCTTTGCCAGAACAAAGGGCAGCCAAAAAAATCAATTTAGTCCAAGGTAAGTTAATATACGCTGGTGCTCCTTTCTCAGTTCAGTGAGGAGACCTAAAGATTTTAGGATAGAGAAAGGAAAGAAAACCAATCCTACCATCAGTACCTAGCTGCATATTATCAATGTTCAGTCTGAGAGCCCTGCCTCCTAGGCTGACAGCTCAGGTCCCAGAATTCAGCCAAACCACCCCAGCCTGGGGCTAACATGACCTGCTACCATAATCTGCTGCGTTTTCAGAGCTACGTTGCCACAATCCATCACTACTGCATCATCACCAACTTCTTCTGTGGCATGTCTGATAACCCAAGCTTATCTCCTTAAAACTAGGAACCCCCTTTCACTCACCCTCCAGCAAATGCAGTGTTACTTATGCTTTTGCAGTTGTGCAATTCAGGGCAGAAAGCAGGCAAAGACTGGGTCCAAATTCACACACCAGTTTCACCATACCATAACCAGTTCCTACACAGCCACAGTCTGCGTTTAGCAAGTGGGAACAGATGGTGACTTACCAACAGGATCACACTTCCATCTCCCACGGCCCTGGCCAAAGCATGTGCAGTTCAGCATGTGCCCCTCATCGTGACGCTTGTGGAAGGTCTGGTTCACATCATAGGTGATACCGTCCACAATGCACTGGTCTGTTTGAGAAAAAGCAGAGACGCTTTTGTCAGCAGTAGCTCCTAGCGTTAGGACAAAATCCTTCTGCTTGGCACATTGTTCCCTCCTCTTTATCAGCTTACAGAGACTGACCATGACAAGCCCCATTCATGCAAAAGGGAACCCTCCTGGTATCTGTGATCATCACAGATTAGTGCTGCATATGTACCACTGCTTCCCAGTTCATTTATCAACAGTGTCTAAATAAGCAACACTTGCAGAAAAGAGATCTATAAGATGCAGTCCAAAGTACTATGCATTACTCAAACTATAGAACTGCCTGGTTCTTCCTTGTGACATATATTCCACATGTGAAAGAAAATCTGAAATAGCACACTAACTCTGTCACTACCTCCTCTTAGGAAGATCTAGACTGGAATACCTCAGTGAGTACTATCTGAAATCATTAGAACTACTCAAGGGCTAATCCAAATTCATAAAGATACCACGAAGAGGTACAAACATCCTCATGATGTTATTCTGCCAGGTATCTTTCTTTGCTACACTTTGTAGTAATCTGCAGACAGGAGCAAATATATTACACATCCAAGATGTTACTGATACCTACTAATCTACTATTCCCTCAAAACACAGTAACCAGATCCCATGCTTAAGTACAATGGTATCATTCTATTAGGTTCAATGGCAATGTGTCACTCTGATCTGGCCCAGAATTCCTAACGCCAGTCTAATCACAGTGAGGAGCGGAAAGAAAAAACAAACAAGAAAACCACCCCAGATGCATGTTGTTTTGTTAACTAGGACCCAAGAGACCCAAGTTCAGTTCTGGAGTCAATCACAGACCCTCTGCCCTTGCGGAAGTGACTCAGTTAATCCCAGGCCTTCATTCCCCATCATATTTTCCCACACCACGGGCATGGCGTCAGGATAAACCAAGCAGTGCTCAGACCCTCCTATGGGTGCTAAGAACCTTCTCTGGCTGATACATTTAAACAAATCTACTTAGATAACCATTGCCTTTTGAAAAAGCAAAGCATCTCTACCCTCCTCCATCCAGAAAGACCACTTTAACTCCAGAATGAAACTGCAGAGAACTAGCTGTGTATGTGGAAAAAGGAGTTTCACAGACCAGAACTTTTAGCAGTGCATTTCTCACTATTCTGAAGTAAATGCATTAAAAACACCCCTCCCAAAGCCTTTGAGTGAGCCTTTCCCTATAAATTATATCCCATTTCAGAAGTGGTGTTAAGAGTCCTTTCTTGGCTGCTTGACAGCAACCCCCCTGCCTTTTCCAGACATGAAGCCAATGCTGTGAGCTAGCTGTAGGATGATCGAATGTCTGTGCTTTTAAGTCTTCTTTTTTTGGTATTGCTTAAGCACTTCTCCACTTGGACCACTCATATAAATAAGTAAATAAATAAAGAGTAATCTCAGTGCTGTTCTGCCAACTTTTCATATAGATTAGCTAACAAAGGGCTAATCTAGCACCGAGGAATTGAAAATTTCACTGCAGAACAATAAAACAGGACGGCTCTGCATTCAAACTTCAGACTAGTCTGGAGTTTTGTCCGTTCTTGAGAGGGGGAGGTGCCTCTGCTAAGCTCACCGTAAAGTCCCAGTGGCACTGATCCTAAATGTAGACAAAAGGAGGTAGGGATACCTCCTGATTAAGCTCATCAAGTCTTGCCCTGCTTGCTATCCTGCAAAGGCTGAAATTGTACTTTTCCAGCATGTAAACAAAACAGGAACTTCACGTAGTCCCTTGGATTCCCTTTCTACTCCAAAGAAAAGCTTGATAATGCACAGTTCTTGAGCCTGGGCTCGAACTCACAATGATGGAAGAGAAAACCAATTTCTCCCACCCCTCAAACACTTTGACTAAAGTGGCAATATCAACATGAAAATCAGTACCTCTGAGCTGGGAATAGGCAATGCAAGTCCATTCTCCGCGGCCATTTCCTACACAAGTACATCTCATCATATGGCCCATGTCATGTTGTTTATCCCACTGGTCCCCAACACGGTACATGACACCATCATTGGTTGTGCAGATTTCTTCATGGGCTGGTTGAGAAGAAAGCAAGAGGATACTTTATGTGGCCAGAATTAACAAGATCTTGAGGGCTTAGACTATTTGCAATGCCCCTTCACACTGTGTAGTGGTTTCTGCATCTGCAGCTTTAGGCACCCACTCAATTTTGAATAGCATTTTTGCTGGGTGATGCCATTCTCTAAGTGCAGATCCCCTCTAGGTGTTCATTCATTTTAATTTTCATTTGAAAGCTACTAGAAATGGCTTCTGCACAATGTCCAACGGGTGCTGCATGAGAGAATCAGTTCTCGTTACATACATGCCTTTATATGAATGTAGCCATTTGAAGACCCGCGTGTTCCACAAGCTGTTTAAGGGCTCAGATGCTACGTTGTCATAAGGTACAAAAGGCCTTTCATTTAAGAATTAGCAGTCACATTCCCTCCCACATGTCCCCTCCTGACATCATGGAGGCATGCATGGGCTGTAGGAATGGACCACGATATTGATTTTGACATTACTGCCATTTTCAGGGTAACACACTGAAGTATGGACTTATTCCTAACCACAGATCAGGCAAGAGGAAGTGATGAGCCATGAGGGAGAAGCTTTGGCAGATGCAAAATACAAACATCACTTGCTATAAAGCACTACAGTCCCATGCTCTCTAATGGATCTACACCAGTTTGCATCAGCTGAGAAGCATGCCTACCACTGGCTTGTAGCAAAGGAGTAACGAAAATTTCCTTCTGCTGGCATTGCCTAAGTCTCTGCTAGAGGTGATCAGTGGGGAAAAAAGGACAAAAAACACTTCAGAAATGCCTTAAACGGTTTGGGACTGGGATGCACCTCATTGGAAGTCATCAATAACTGACCAAAGACAGACAGCTCTTTACTTTCCAGCTCAAAGAACCACTTACAGGTATTCCATAATCTCCTTATGGTTCTCAGCCTTACCAGCCATAGGGCAGAAACCAAATTTCTGGTCAGCATCATAGTTCTCGGTGGTTCCACACCACTTCATGTTGTCTCTCCGTCCCTCAGAAGTGCAGTCAGTGTAGTTGCGGTTGTTGTACAGGAAGGGGAAGTGGCATAGAGCACCATTGGAATTGCCACCACGTGTCTGGACCAAAACTGTACAAAAGTGAAAAGAAAACAGATGCAAATCAAGCCTGCACTCTCCCTTAGCATGCAGGGAAGAGCTTGAAAAACAAGCCACTAGCACTATTTTTTCCCACGTGTACCCTGTATATTATCCACAGGCTTCTTTTCTTGGCTTTAATTATTTCAGATCTGGAAACATAAGCCTTGCACAAGGTCAATTCAGTTCAAACACTGCTTTGGAAGGAGTTGTGGAGCCAGCCATGGGAATTCCTGAGGAACAGGGAAAACCAAAGCTTACTGTGTTTGGGAAGTGGCTTTGTAGACCCTTTGTGCCAAGGCCCAGGGAATCAAATAAACTCACAGTTCTCAGCATACCTGTATTATCCCCCTGAGGCTATTACCCAATTGTGCCCTTTGGCTTAAAGTAGTCCTCAGGAAAGGGTTACAGTTCAGTTATGCACAACAGGACAAGTCAAAACCTCCCTGCAGGTTGGAAGCTTCATGTTTTGCAAGCAGCAGTGGAAAGAGGGCTGTAATCTTCCTGAACTACTCACCTCTTGAGCAACTCTGCTTTACAAATAATGGAGAACAAGAAGGCATTTGTTGAGGTTTTCTATATTGGTATTTCTCATTCCCCACAGTATATCACAAGAAGCCTCACTAAAACAAGAATGTGTGTGTGGACAGGGACAGTGGTGGGTTTTTTTGTTTTGATTTTTTTTTTTTTAAAAGAAAGAATATTGTATGCACTGCAGAGAAAGGCTTGACTTTTATCAGAAAAAACAACTGAAGTAGAACAGAGTTTTTTAAAAAAAAAAAAATCTACGCAGATTAAGAAGTATTTTTGTGTCGGAATGTGAAAAATTCTCTCCAAGGTCAGGTCCCAGAGAAGCTGCCTGGATACTGTTCCATGGACATCTGATGGGCTTTCTAGGAAGTGCAACCACACAGGTAGATCTGTGCTGTGAAGAAAACACTGACCGTCCACAGACAAGAGGGAATGCTGCTGCATTAGTCATGCACCAGCTCTTGATCAGTGATCACAAATCACATTAAGATTACTGCTATATATGGCAACCTGGCTAGATAGTCAGGACGGAGGGAGTGACAGAGGACTGCACAAACTGTACTCCATGGATATCCTCTTCGCAGCCTAATATGGGCATTGATCTAGCAATTAAGCCAAGCAAAGGCAAAGTCTAAGTATCCTTTGGGCCAAAGCTGTATTCTGATGAGGTACTCCTGTTCTAAGGTCAGCTCAGAGGAGACAGAACAGGACTCAAAGGCCCTGAGCACCCTCCAAAGATGCCAAGATCATGAAAGTGCCCTGACTCCAGGCAGCCCTCCATTCACAGGACTGCCTTGCTGTTGAGGCATGCCTAGAGTTCCTCCAGACCACAGGAATTGTTCAGGCAGCCTGTCCCTATGTTCTCTGCTCCTTCCCCCATCTGTGCATGTGAAGATCCTCTGAGAAGAACTTACCGTTCTGCTCAGTACAGAAGGAGTATCTCCTGTCCTGTTCAAAGTTGGAAGTGGTGCTGCACCAGAGGTGGCCATCTGTGCGGCCTTCAGTGGTGCAGGAGTAGAAAGTCCTCCCATCATAGGTGAAAGGCAGAACACAAGCTTCTCCATCAGAATTGCCGCCATATGTCTGGGTTACAGCTTTAAAACAAGCAAATCATAGCATTAGACTCTGGCTTAAAGCAATCCCCAAATCTTAGGGCTCTAGAACAGCAATAGAGTCTCTGGGCCAAGTCGCTGGCTGATGTGAACCCACACCGACAGCCATGGATCTGGGCCAATACACACCAACATATGACTTAGCCCTGCAGCTGTGTCATTCTTTTACATTCTTTTCCAAACATATATTATTGCAGCTCAGTTTGAATAAAGTTATTAATGCTGCTCCCCAAGGGCTCTGTTTTCCCTCAGCAGGTTATATATAACTCACTGGGAAATGTTTCTGCCCTACAGAACTAGGCTTCAAATAACCAAAACAATTATTTCTTCACCCCTTGCACCTTTCTCCAATGCGTCTTCTTCAGAAGACATTTCTGATACACACACACAAAAGTATTCTACTTCAAAATTAAACTGCAGGGCATTGCCAAAGATTTCACTGGACTGACCAGGCATTAAACACAAACTCATACCTATTTCCTGGCAGCTGACTCCATTGCCCAGGCAGGTACAAAGCATTTGCTGGCTACCCTGTGTCTTGAGCCACTGCATACCCACAGAGTACACCACTCCGTTATCAGTTATGCACTGGCCATACGGTTGAGGCTGGGGCTGTTGAGGCTGGGGCTGGTACAACGCAGTCTGCACATTCGTGAAGCTGGGAGAGCCAGATCCTGCAGCAGAACATGGGAGAGAAGTGAGATGTTACATGCAAAGCTAAAGAACAGAATGCTTCAATTAAACGTTGAGATAATAAAACCTTAGGCACTCCATCAGATCGAAGGCACAACGCTCTTCGCTTCCCTAGACATACTTTAATTATTCCACTTAGCAAACTTCAAAATTAAAAGAACAACTCCCAGTTCTGCTAACAATAGCCCCTGGTTTCTACTGCCGTAAAGCAGCTTTAGAAAGGATTAAAAGCGTCAACTGCTTTTCACAGGAGTTGTTTAAGAACAATTTTTTTGGAAAAAAATTCTTCAGTTGAAGGAAATCTAAAATAGAAAAATCAAGATCAGTGACAAAACAATAAAAAGCTACCAAGGAAGTTGGAAGATAAGGCAAAAAGGATTCATTTTGAATTTTTCATTGAAAACAAAGAATAAGCCACAAACATTCATTTACTCTGGAATTTTTAAACTTTGATTCAAAGCATTTGGTCCATTATCACTTGGAATAATACTGAAAGACAAAGAAAGAGGCTTGTTGTGTACATTATGGAAATTTTTGCTAATGATTCCCACAGGAATCTCCACAAATTCAGCTCTGCTGAAATAAGGGAAATATTAACGGAAACAAAATACTGGCACCCTTGAAGCTTTGTGCATTTTGAAGTTTAGACCTTCTGAGAGTTTGAAGTTAACCTGCTGGTACTGAACAGTCATTTACCAAGAAAAATTTAGTGTAGGTACTACAGGAAAACAGAGAAGTTTTACATTGCATTCACTAAAAGGAAACCTAGATCCTTCAAACAGCAAAACAGAATTTAGAAACTAAAGACATTAACAAACATATGCTACTTATAAACTAGGTAATATTTCATACCAAAATTACAAACTACCTAATGTACACGTATTAAACGGCATTGTATACATTCCTTGACATTTCTGTTTTTTAAAGCTCAACCATTAGTAGGTGTATTTATCTTGTCAAAGAAACCAGATGGTCTCAGTGGAGTTTAAATGAAGGACATTTCAACAAAGTTGCCCTGAGGCGAATACATAAAGTTCAAATATTAACTTGAAGTGCCATGCTTCCATGACAAAGCTAGCAGATAGTTCCTGTGGATACACAGCTCTAGATGTGATTTACTGCGCTGTGATTGTGCAGGCAATCACATCTGTATGTGCAAGCCTCATTTCTGCACAGAAACAAGGTGTAAATTAATCTTATCTACACATGCACAAACAAAGAGCATCTCCTGAACTCTGACCCTCTTTGTTGACAATCTTTCCCTGACAAGACTCCTAGATGCCTAAATTAGGGTGGTACAATTCAGCACCAAGTCCTAACCATTCAACATGTGCCATTCCTTGTCCCTTCCCCTACCTTACACACTATGATGCCCCACTTACCAGTGCTAGTCGTATGCAGGGATGTGTGTCTTTCGCATTTCCATTCACCTCTGCCATTACCGGTACAGACGCACTGAAGCAAGTTTCCACGGTTATCCTTCTTGCTCCAGGTGTCTCCAATTCTGTAGGAAGTCTTGGTGTCATGGTCATTGCACCTGTCTATAAGGAACATGACTGTTAGCTATTTCTGCATTGGATGGCTTCACTGTGCAATTTATAGTACTGAACCACCAACACTATCAAACGAGTTGATAGTTCAAAGCCTTTAGTAAGAGCCCACCTCTTTTTCTGCAGCCCCCTATTACAAGTCCTATATGCACTAAAGCCTGCATTAAACTGCGTAGGCTGAGATCATCTGAAAATCCTGATGCTTTAGTCTAAGGAAAAATTCCCATGTATTTCCAGAACTGTGATTTCACTTTGTAGCCATTGTCAAAATTAGCATCATAACATTCCCAGTGTGAACATGGTAAGCTATGTTCAAAATTAATGTGAAAAAGCACATTCTGGATTGAAAAAAACAT